GTTATCATTTACATAGATGATATTTTATTGTTCTCTCAAGACATAAACTCTCATAAAAGTTATTGGGTCAATTCTTTGAAATATTCCATTAATACGGGATTATGCTCTTTGAGACGAAAATTCACTTGCCCCAAAGAGAAATTGATTTCTTGAGAATGCATTTCTCTCAAGGCACATATCAACCTCAACCTCACATTGCTAAAGAGCTTCTCAATTTTCCTAATGAAAACTTAACCATAAAGTAAGATCAACAATTTCTTGGAATCATTAACTACATCAGAGAATTCATTCCTAATATTGCTAGATATACAAGTACCTTGTCTAAGTTGTTAAGGAAGAATCCTCCTTCTTGGGGACTAGAACAGACTCGAGTTATCAAATAACTTAAGAAAATAGCCCAAACTCCTCCAGCTCTAAAAATCCTAGGGAATAAAAAAAAATACTTCAGACTGATGCAATTGATGGTTTTTGAGGAGCAGTTCTCATTGAAGAAGAGAATGATAAAAAGTATTACTATGGTCATGCTAGTGGACAATTCAAATATGCTTACAAATATCACCACACAATTTTCAAGGAAGCCTTAGCTATAAAAAATAAAATAAAAAAGTTTGACTTTCATCCCAGAGGACATCATTTTGAAGTACAAATGGACAACTCTTCTTTTCTAAGGATCCTACAGTTCAAAAACAAGATGCCTCAAATCCTCCAACTAAATAACTGATTTTCGAGGTATGATTTTTCTGTTAAGCATATCAAAGAAAATCAAAACACAATTCCTAATTTTCTGTCTAGACCACAAAAAGTTATCCAAATAATTTATGATACTCATAATTTTCCTCTCATATTTATGGTCAAACATTTATCCAACAAAGCCAAAACTAAGATTTTATCCTCCTAGACTAAACCCAATCTCTCCAGCAGAAATCCTTCAGTATGCAAATTCCATTATTTTTATTGTTTCCATGAAACCCTGAAATATAAAACCTCCCCAACAGCCATTTTTTATCCTGATATCCCTTTTGAATGAATTTTTGAAATATTTTGTAAACCTAGATTGGATCTTGGTGAACCAACACTTTGGACAATATGATGTAACACTGTTCAATATTTCATCCTCATTGCATTAAAAATACAAACAACTTTTGAGATTCTGATAGATCCTTATAAAGAAAAGTTTTATTTATGGACTCTACTGGATGATTTTCACCGTTATCTTGGTAGAGACAAGAATTAAAAAGGATTATAGATTTTCAGCGATAAAGGGGAATAACTGAGGACTCTCTTAAAGCTCTCACTTCAATCTTCATCATTCACCGTCCATATTTTCAAAATCCTACAGGAAAACTATAGTCAAATAATGAAGCTTACATTTGGTAAAGTTTTGAAATATATCCTTCAGATGATAGCTACAAAATCCAGTTGGCTAGACATCTTTGCGAAGTCAACAACTATCATTATAGACCGGTGGACCCCAATCTTGTCAGCTCATCCCAAAGACCACTCAGTTTTTATCCTCTAAATAAGATCATTCCAAAAGATAATGGTTCCTAAAAGATAATATTCTTCAAATCAACGACTGAGATATATGTACCTAAAGAAGAGTCCGAGAAAGTTAAAGATCTGGCAGGTGATTATAATGAAAATTTTATGGAAGAAATGATGCTTCACAATAGGATGTATCCTTATTGGGATCCACTACATGCAAGTATGGAAGCACAACAAATGTATTGTTCTGATTCTACCAGATCTTATTCGAAGTAAAGGCAGTTGTTAATGACTGTCATCATGACAAGTTATTAAGGCAAGATTCTCTTATTTTTACACATATCCATTGTTTGTGTCCACAAACATGTTAAAAGAGATAAGAAATAATCTACTTTACTTTACCCAAAAAAGATAAGTTATCCTATCTTATCCTATCCTATTTTATCTTTTCTTGTTTGTAAGGTCATAGTAAGTATTTTTGGGTTCGAATTTCAATTTAGTTTAGCGAATTTTTCAATTCTGCTTGTATGGTGTGCCTATAAATAGGAAGACTTGTAATATTTCAAGGTACAATCAATCGAATACAAGTTTCATTTCTTAAAAATGTATTCTCTCTAAGTTTTCTCTTCTCTAAAAGTCTGAAGTATATATCTCTTATGCAAGTATGTTTTATACTTGTCTCTTATGAGGATCTTGTGAATTAGAAAACTTTTGATCTCTAAAGTCATTTTATCTCAGAATTTCGTTGGGACCCACTATGTCAAAAACAAGAGAAACCCTTAGGTATAAATAAACCATAATTATGTAGTCCAATTCCTAAAAGATTTATCCCTAAATAATATTCAAATTATAAGAAAGTCCGTGGAGCCACTATTGAAGAATTTATATATTCAATTTTTTTTCTAGTATATAAATAAATTAAGAAAATAGTTCAAGTAATAAAAGTCCAAGTTTCCTTTGGATCTCAATTCCAATATGATCCCCCTACCCTCGTTAGCTCACAATGCTCCTAATATATTATCTATCATTAAAAAGAGAAAACTTAGACTAATGATACGATAACCCCAACGATCCAATTGTTGAATAAATTGTAATCTAAAGATGAAAAACGAGTTTTTTTTTTGTAAAATTTTATCTTTATCATTCATATTCATGTATTTGATTTCAACAAAATAAAATGATTCATTAAAAAATAGAGAAAGTTTTGTTTTTACTAATAAATTGTACGAGTTCTTAAAATGTAATAACTAAATAGCTACTAATAATAATGATCGTGCATAACTCAATATCATTATATCTACATGCATCATTAGCTAGTGGGACGATAAAGTATGCATTAATATTAATGATTCATGCATTTTTGTTAAAAGATTTGGAGTAATATACATAAAAAAATTATAAAAATATAAATATTTATAAAAATTATTTCTAAAATAAAACTTATAAAAATTTAATATAAATTATCTAAAAATAATATAAAAATAAATTTTACTTTAAATAAAATAAAAACTTCACATAATTATTTATGTGAGTAAAATATGACTCATGAGAATTTAAGTTCATCAATAATTTTGCACAGAAGTTTAAGTTGTCATCTTACCACTAGTTACTTAATTTTCACTGGTTATCATTATATTTTTAATTTGTTCAGCTTGTAACAACAGAATGATATCTCCCTATATATTTTTTTAGTGTTTTGAAAGTTCTTTAGTTTGTATAAATGTCTATTTTATTATAATTTGTACGTAACTTATAGATAATTTAAACACTAATTAAAACAATATTGTGAATATCTTTGTATAATTATTATTTTTTCCTTAAAAAAAATGTTTGATCACAAATTACATTAGTGAATAAATTTTATTAAAAAAAAATACAATTGTAGAATATTAAACGTATAAATTATAGTAAAAAGAAAATAAAAATAATAATAAATAAAACAATAAGAATATTGTATGATTATGTAGTAGTTTATTAAAATTTGTTTTTGATTTAGTTAAAGATAACTATACATTCCTAATTTTTTATCAGCAAAGCAACTCTGGAGTTTAAAAAGAAAAACTTCAAGTTTTCTAACGTAGAAAAAAATATTTTTGATGATTATTTAATTCAACTTTTGTTTTTTATATATAAAATCATTAACTTTATAAATGAGTTGTAATATAAACACATACACATAGATTAATATACTTTTAATGTTATATATATATATATATATATTTTTTTTTTGTGTGTGTGTGAATTAAAAATATAAGTATTTACATCTTACAAAAAAAAAATTATTGTAAAAAAATGAATGATTAATTAAATTTAATGTACTTAAACTTACCTTAAATGAATGATTCTTTGGTTTTACTTTTGTATGTGTAGTTTTGGAATTCAATTGTTCTGTTTTACATATAATTAATGTGCAAGTGGAACTTTCATACCTAAATTGAAAACTAACGGTAAAGTTTACTTAAGTGTTGTAAGTACTTTTGTTAACATTAACGACTCTCTTTTATTATCTTAAAAAATGTCTAATTTTTTCTTAAAATAAAATAAAATAAAACATAACTAATTATTTAATTACAGCACTTTGTTGGTGAAAAGTTATGAATTCAAAACATAATTAATAATTTAATTTCAACATTTTTTTATTCTAATAAGGTCATTGAAATTTGATATAATACAGTTAAATTATTTTATTTCTATTAGGATGGTAATTCCACTGGTTATCATTATGTTATCTCGTTTTAAAAAATAATATTAAAATTTTTGTTTGAATTTTTTATTCTGAATTTTTGTAAATTTTTAATATATATTAAAAATTTAAAATATGTAAAATTTATTTTTCACGATACTATTTTTTTATATTAAAAAAAGACTAAATTAGTTGTATATTATAATTTTGTTAATAATTTGTTTATTTTTTTCCAAATAAATATCATAATTAGTTTTTTTTTCTTTTAAATTTTCATACCTACTAATAATTGGGGTGATCAAAGTTTTTTATCTACTTTTTGTTGTGAATTAATTTTTTTAATCTGTGTTTTACTGTTATTTTTAATTTAGCTAATTCTAATCTAGGAGTAGTTTAATTTTATAATATCTAACACGATATTATAGAAAAAAATGAATTTTTAGAATTTTTTTTATGCATTAATATTTTTAAATTATTTTTAAATATTACAAGATCGATTTAAAATTATTAACTAAATTAATAACTTTTTATCAAGTATGAATGATTTATGATTTATTAAGTTTTTTTATTATTGTATTTGAGTCTAAAAGTTCATGTTTGTATTAAAAATCATTTTCATTTATTCAAACAATTACTACCACAACTCGTGAGTCAAACAGTACTAAAAAAATGTGAATTCCACGGGTTCATTTTCTGTCTTACACTGCGTAAAAGGTGGTGAAAGAGAAAATCTGAGTGCATGATTTTGATAGTTTAGTTGAGGGAGCGAGCGAACAGAGTGTTTCTTCTTCTGAATCAACCGATCATCACTCACTCTGATGCTCACACCAAGATGGTGAATCCTCGATTTCCACATTCCACCATCCCAACTCTCACTCTCACCACTTCTGCTATCTCCATTGCCTTCTGCATTGTCCTCACTCTATCTTTTCTGGTCACGCATTCTTATTCCGCCCACCACACGGTAATCTTCAACCCCTTATTTTTTTTGTTTGCAATCTGTGATTTTTTCCGGGGGGAACATACATTTTTTTTTTCTTTTATTTGTCGAATTATGACTTACTTGTATTCTGGGTTAGCTTAATTCGAAAGGAAAATAGGTGGGGTTGGGGTTAGTTTTGGATCTTATTGTAGGGGTTCAAATGGGTTGGGATCCTCTCCGCTTCTGACCCAGTTGCGAGCTAATTTAGTAATTTTCTCGGGTAACAGAGATGGCAGTGTTACCAGAAATGATAAAAATTAGTATTGTTCTACTCTTGGGAAGTACAAAGATTTGATGAAACAAGATTAATTCGTTGTTGTATTTTTTGACTAGACTTTATGCGTGATAATTTTCTTGGGAAACAAACAGGGTATGTTTTGGTTTGATTTGTCTGGGAAATTTTCAATGGAAATGTCACTACTAGAAAAGGAAACAAGTTTATTATTTCTTTAATTTGTTTTATTTTTCCGATAATGGACAAACATTGTTGTTATACTTCTGAACTAGCCTTGATGTGTGCAAATTTTAATTGGAAACAAACAGGGTATGTGGTATCTTGATTTGATTTGATTTGTTCATGTAGTCTGAGAAATTTTCAATGGAAATAAAGGGAATTTTTTTTTCTTTGATTTGTTTCTTATTCCTGAGAAAGGACAAAGATTGTTGTTATGCTTCTGAACTAGCCTTGATTTGTTCTCATTTTGTTGGGAAGCTAACAGGGTTTATTTTGTTTTGTGTTTATTTTATCTTGTAGTCTAGGAAATTTTCAGTGGTAATGTCACCAATGGAAAGGGAAATGTTTTTTTTTTCTGGGAAGGGAATTTTTTTATGAAGCTAGGTTACTAATCTGGTGTTGTGCTGCTGAACTAGGATTCTAAAAGTGGTGTTGCACACGGATTTGAATCAACTAGGAGATCCATTCTTGCTCTGAAAACAGATCCCCTCAAGCCTCGCTTGGACCAGATTCGCAAGCAAGCTGATGATCATCGTTCTTTGGCTCTTGTGTATGCTTCCTATGCACGCAAGCTCAAGCTTGAGAGCTCAAAACTTGTAAGGGTTTTCTCAGAGCTATCTCGCAACTTCATGGATCTAATGAACAAACCTCAATACAGGCCTCTTTTTGGCAATGATGTATCCCCAGTTGATGAATCAGCGCTTCGCCAATTGGAGAAGGAAGTGAAGGAGCGCATTAAAACTGCCCGCCAGGTGATCGGGGATGCAAAAGAGTCCTTTGATAACCAACTCAAGATTCAGAAGTTGAAGGATACAATTTTTTCAGTGAATGAGCAATTAACTAAGGCAAAGAAACAAGGAGCTTTCTCAAGCCTCATTGCTGCCAAATCAATTCCAAAGGGCTTGCATTGTCTCTCCATGAGGTTGATGGAAGAGAGGATTGCCCATCCTGAGAAGTATTCAGATGAGGGAAAGCCTACCCCTCCAGAAGTTGAAGATCCTAGGTTGTACCACTATGCCTTATTCTCAGATAATGTCCTTGCAGCATCTGTTGTGGTCAATTCGGCAATGAAGAATGCTAGGGAACCGCATAAGCACGTTTTTCATGTTGTGACTGATAAGATGAACCTTGGAGCAATGCAGGTGATGTTTAAGTTGAAGGATTATAATGGTGCACACATTGAGGTTAAGGCAGTGGAGGATTACAAGTTCCTGAATTCTTCTTATGTGCCAGTCCTTCGACAATTGGAGTCTGCTAATCTGCAGAGATTTTACTTTGAGAACAAGCTTGAGAATGCTACAAAGGACACAACCAATATGAAGTTTAGGAATCCCAAATATTTGTCAATATTGAACCATTTGAGGTTCTACTTGCCAGAAATGTACCCAAAACTTCATAAAATTTTGTTTTTGGATGATGACATTGTGGTTCAGAAGGACCTTACTGGGCTATGGAAGATTGATATGGATGGCAAGGTGAATGGAGCTGTAGAAACATGTTTTGGGTCATTCCATAGATATGCACAATACATGAATTTCTCGCACCCCTTGATTAAAGAAAAATTCAGTCCAAAGGCTTGTGCATGGGCTTATGGAATGAATTTCTTTGATTTGGATGCTTGGAGAAGGACAAAATGCACTGAAGAATATCATTACTGGCAGAATCTGGTAAGACTTTACTCTTATTTAGTATTTTACCACAACACTTTTGTTCTTCAATATTTTGCATTATCAAACAACATCTACCATTTTAACACAAACAGCCCTAGGTTTTAGATTACTATTAACCCCATCTGATACCTAATGACGCTGTAAAGTTCCACGTCATGTTAATCATTGAATCACTAGCAATGGTGCTAGAGGCTGCATATTCAGATACTAGAATAGAAATAATTGTCCTGTATGTTCTGGTCTCATTCTCATCAATTTAATTTTTATGTTGAGCCTACATCATTTCATGTTTAACGTGTTGTGATAATGGTGCTGCAGAACGAGAACAGAACACTATGGAAATTAGGGACATTGCCACCGGGTCTAATCACATATTACTCAACAACAAAGCCACTGCATAAGTCATGGCATGTTCTTGGACTTGGCTATAATCCTAGCATTGGCATGGATGAGATCAAGAATGCAGCAGTGGTGCACTTCAACGGCAACATGAAACCATGGCTTGACATTGCAATGTCTCAATTCAAGCCACTTTGGACAAAGTATGTTGACTACGAATTAGATTTCATTCAGGCCTGCAATTTTGATTTCTAAATGGTCTAGTTTCTTCTCACTCGGTGATGCCGAGTCAAGTGTTACGCTTTTATTTGCGGTTTAGTTAATTCCTTCTAATTGTAAAATTCTTTAGCACAGTAATTCTCTCATTTCTTTCCCCTTATTTATTCACAACATGTATGCAATAATGTTATTTTTAAATATATGGTTCATCTGAATTAAATGTTCCACTCTGGCTTTTGTTCTTTTAATTTTTTATTAAATTACTCATTTTATCTTAAATATACTTTTAACTTTTAATTCTTGTACATAAAATATATTTCTTTTAATTTCTATAATACCATTTTTAATTCTTATAACTTTAGATAGTAGAGATTAAAAATATTATATATAAGAATTAAAAGAGACTAAAATGGTATATATATGATTTAAAATAGGTAATTTCTACTAATGAGACAAAAATATAGAGTTTGTATGCAAGAATTAAATTAGTAATTATTATTTTGTTATACAAATACAATGGCTTTAGCCGTTTATTTCATTCAGAACTTCCACCGTGGAGGGACTTTCTGGTTTAACTAAAAACTAGTATATTGATGTTCTATTTTTTTTTTTAGCATATCTGCACTGCATGAATTTGCTGCTGAATTTCCCAAATAATGTTATCATATTTATCAAAGTGAATTTCTTTCGCCTTCCACTTATGGAAGATGTTAAATACTAATATGAATTTGTTTAAATTTAAGAACCAAACTTAGATATAGTATCATGCGTAGCATTAGTATCGTTATCAAATTTTAAATTTTATGCTAACAAAAAATATATTTCAAAAATAGTGTTTTAGTATCTAAAAAATTAGAATTTTGTAAATAAACAAATTATATACAACTTGTATTTCTTTTAATCATGTAAATTTTAATTACATATGACTTATTTTTTAAAGTATACAGTACAAGATTTATTACATAATAAAATTTATTAAGTTGTGTTATGTAGGAAGGAGTATGGAAGCAGAAAGTGAAAGAAAGGGCGCCATTTACAAATCGTAGAACAGGGTCCAGGTTTGAAGAACGCTGCTCCAATGTTCTATAATATTATCCGTTCATAAATACCCCTATTTTTTTCCCTCTCCTAAGAATTAATAAAACAAACGAAGAAAAAAAGATCCGTCTTCTTCTCAGGCATCGTAATTGTGGAATGAGAAGGTTGCTGCGCCTTCTCCTCCGCCGTGCATGACCTTCCTCCGTCGCCACCATGCCGGCCACGGGTCCTTCCTACGATCTGATCCTCCACCGTCTCGCCTCCTCCGATTGCGAAATCAAGCTCAAAGCCATTCGAGAGCTTAAGAACCAGATAATCGGCAACCGCACCAAAAAGCTCTCCTACATCAAGCTCGGCGCCGTGCCCGTCCTCGCCGCCGTTCTCGCCGACGCTGATGCCGATTCCGCCTCCGGCCCCAGCCTCATCGTCCAGTCCGCTGCCGCGCTGGGCAGCTTCGCCTGCGGCGTCGACGCCGGCGTCCGCGCCGTCCTTGACGCCGGAGCTTTCCCTCATTTAAGCAAGCTCCTCTCTGCCTCTGATGACAAGGTCAATTCGATTAGTTACAGCGTGTTTTTTTTCTTTCTTCAATTTATTTTGCGTGTTTTGTTTCTGAGACATTGGTACCTAAGATGAAGTTGCTATTGCCAGAAATGAGGAACCGCTGTTTGTATTTCTCATTGTGATACATTGGAAGTTAGGAATTGAATAAGTCGTTTGAAAATAGTTATGTGTTTATCTTATAATCAACTACAGTTTATAGAATTTGCGCATTTTAGTTTGTCACTACCAATACTATCTTTCTATGTCTTTGTTAGGTTGTTACATGTTGATGTATTGTCTCCTTTTCTTTCTAGGTTTCTGTTTGTTCTTCTAGTTACTGTCGTAACGCAAGAGCTACATATAGTTTTTGCTTCGTGATGAAGACGGTTAGGGAATTTAGGAGATGTGTGGTAGAGTGGAGTAGGAACGCGAAGGGAGAGAAAATTGGAGCGTTAGAGTGAATGCAAATAAGTAGAGAAATTGGAAGGGCCAAAACTTGGCTTTGTTCCCTTTGCATTGTAAATTGAAAACTAAAAGGAGTCCAATTATTAATCTCCCGATAACTTAAGTTTTACTATCGTTACGTGAAACATTTTTTAGTGCAATGTATGGTTGAATAAATTTTGCTTTTGTTTGGCTGTGTGCGGTGGGCATTTAGGCTGTTGACAATACAGTCTCATTTTAAATTTCTCTTGAAGGGAAAAAATTCCTGAATGATTATGGAGCTCACTCTTCTTGCATGCCTACCTCTTTACTTGCTTACAGATACAAGCAAATATAAATTTGTTTGCATTTCTTCCATTAGTTTTCACCTATGGTAAAATCATCCTTGATTTGAAGAACTGTTGGCTTCTAATTACAAGAGATGTTCAAATGTAAAATGCCACACTAAATTATGAGAAACAGCAGTTGTGAGGTGTAGATAGATTATAATCTAATGCAGTCTGTGGGGTGTGAACATGATCTACCAAGTATAATCACTTTGTACTTTCATATTTTAGTGTAGATTGAACGGACAGATGTTTCAGGAAAAGCCATTTATTCTATTGTGTCATGCAGTGTACAACAAAACAGACCTGCTGAACCCTTATACGTTAATAATTATTATGATGTGATATGCCTGTTATTTTTTCTCTTTTCCAATGTCAAATAGTCTTGTTTCTTTTTGGTTTCAGGTTGTGGACGCTGCTGCTCGCTCTTTAAGAATGATATATCAATCAAAACTAGCTCCAAAGTATGATTTTTTTAAAGAACAAGACATGGGATTTCTTCTTTCACTATTGAAAAATGGGAACGAAAATCTTACTGGACTAGGTGCAAGCATTATTATTCATTCTTGTCAGACAAGTGATGAACAAAATGTATTATGCTGTGCTGGTGCTTTAGAAAATCTTATTAGCCTTCTTGATGGTTCTCTAAGTCAGCGAGATTCTAGTTTAGAGTCCATTGCTGCAATTCTTAAAAACAATCCAGAAGTAGTCTCTAAATTTGTGGACCTTCAAAATCGAAGAGCTTTGAGTTCAATAATTGAATTAACCAAGGACAGATATTCTCGGACAAGGTTATTAGCTTGCTTGTGCCTGATTTATGTACAGAATTCATCTTCTTGCTACCTGCAAGACACTGGAACCAAAACCAAATTGATAAACATTTTGCTTGAGCTCCTTGATGATTCTGATCATGTTGGAGACAATGCTTGCTTTGCCTTTTCAACTTTAGTTGCAGAAAGAGAAGATGTGCAGAAATTAGCATTTGAGGCAAATGCTATTGATAAGTTCAACAATCACTTGCAAAATTGTGCTTTACATCCCAAACGTCTTGAAGGGATATTTCTAGCCTTAGCTGCTCTTTGCTCAAAATTGGAGTGTTCCCGGTCTAAGTTTCTTTCATTGCAGGTCTGTTGTTTGATATTTGTTGCTAGGAACCATTTTTTAATTTCCTCCCTCATAGATTGTTGTCTTCCTTGCTTTGGAAAATGTAAACAACAAATGAAAAATGATAGAAAAACCTACAAATTGAATCCTGATACTAATTTATGTAAAGTAGCCTTCTCCAGAATGTTATTATTGAGTTTTTCTTTATTCTCTTGTCCATCCTTTATTGTTGTTGTAATTTTGGCTATGTGAATGTGGTAATGGTTTGTCTTTATTATGTAGCAGCACTGGCGACAAGCATGAAGCATTACTTTTTCCATGTCTGTGTGTACCTGCAGTTATTTTCAAAAACAATTGAGCTTAATGTCAAACACAATTTAGGTTTTAAGATTCAGTCTGGAAACTGATGCTGTATGTTTCAGCCATCTTTGTTTTTTTTTTTTTTTCATTTGTAAGTATTCTTTATATTCATTCTCAATTAAGTGGTTATTTTTCTTTTTAGTTAGTGTCATTAATCTCATACTTTTCCGTACTGGCAACACTTGCCCAGTTATGAATATTGTAGTTTTCTTGTAAATATGATTTTTGCTTACTTTTTCGGCAGAAGCAACTTATGTGTGTACCATAATCCGGTGTAAAGAATGGCATATCCCCCCTTTGGTTGTAACATGGTGTGATCATACTGAATTGAATTATATGGGTGGTAGTGAATTTAAACATTTATTGATGTGCTGTTAATATACCCCCCTGCACCAAGAGCAATTGAGCATTTTTTACTGTGTTTCTTCCTGATACATTGATTAGATGATAGACAAATTATCTTTCTTCTGAATATTGTAATGGCATAATTTGCCCCAGTAGACTATGAACTTGTATACTAAGTCCATTTGCAACTTCTGCTTCACTGTTTGTGAATACAGGTCTTGAATATATTAGTTGATGCCTTAGCCTATGATGATGCCAATGTGCGAACTGCAGCTTGCATTTGCTTAAAAAGTGTCTCACGCTCAGTCAAGGTGCATAACTTGTGACTAATGCCACTCTGTCTTTCATAATATGTATAGCGTAGTTCTCATAAAATTCCATTCAGAATTTGAGTGCAGGTTATTTCATGAATGAAAGGATTATTGCTTCTTTGGTTCGGCTTCTATCTGATCTTTCTACCTCTGTCCAAGTATGTCTGGTCACATTTACAGTGTTCCTAGTTTTTTGTATGTAAGTTAAATTGAGTACTTGCTGACTTTCTTTTCTTGAGAAGTGTAGCAAGGAAATTGCCAACCAATCATGCTAAAGAATTGAAATCTACACTGTGGAATTGAGGGTTAAAAAATCAATTGCATGTATAATTTAGGGTTAATATGTGCAAGCTATTCTGATGATAACTTAGAAGTTAGATCCTATTCTCTTACCTGTTCCTGTATTAATTGTAATTTATGCATGAACTTGAATTTTTCGCGGATTAGGTTTTTTATTTGAGTGTTTGATGGATTAATTTGGTCCAGTTCTTAATTTCTTATTTGCTCAATATTATGTGCCTAATATTTAGGAAGGTGTAGTAGTGTTTTTTGTCACAATTTGAAAGATTTATTAAATAATCACTCTGGTAATATCTGCAATATTTGTTTCCATTTTGTGTTTGTGTGTTGTATTGTATAACCCATTTGACATTTTATTTTTGAAATGGTCACCCTTATCCACTGAAGCTTGTTGATGGTTTTTTCAAGGCAGTACATGCTTGTGTTGATTCTTTTTCAACATGTTCTCATTGACATATTTGAACTGTTCAGCACTAAATATAAACTGTGAAATATGAATAACTCACATGAAAAAATTTATTGATAATAGGCATCAACCTTTATAATGAATAGAGATCCTAAACTTCAGCTAATTACAAGGAAATGACCAAATAGAACCTGTCCAAAACAGAATCAATAAATGTAACCAATAAATGTGCAGATAAAAGGTACAACAAAAGAAACAAGATATGTGTTAAAATAAGGACATAAGGTAACATTAATACTCCCCCTCAAGTTGGAGCATGAAGGGTTTTGAGTATGAAGAGTAGAAATGCTCAACTTGCCAAGGAACTGAAAATGGTCTTTACCGAGGGCCTTTCATAAAGATATCCCGCCAATTTGTTCTTGGTAGATATGTTATGCAGTAGAAAAAACATGAATTGGATGTGATGTTAAACAAAGTGACCATTAATTTCAATATGTTTTGTATGGTCACAAACAACTGGATTAGAAGCAGGGTAGATGGCTGCATGATCGTCACAAAATAGTGAAACAGGAGTGTAGCACGTCACACGAAGATCGGGAAGAAGTTGAATCAACCAAATTACTTCCTAGCGACTATAGTAATAGCCCTATACTCAACTTCTCTTGAAGAGCAAAAGACAATAGTTTGTTTCTTAAACCTCCCAAGAAATAGGTGAAGATCCAAGTACATGATGTTCTTGGACATCGTGTCCAATCAGCATCACAATAGGATCCGGTTTCTCTATGGTTCCATCCACTAATTCTCTTGTTCACTGGAGGGCATTTAAGAAGCCTTGCGCCAAGTGAAATAATTTCCACCATCCTCACTGAGAGGGTGTGTCACAAAGATCAAGCCAGCGTGATCAGATGATGCAGAAGATATGGGGATTTGGTATCAATTGCAGTATTTTGAATTGTATTCACAATTGATCCCAACTTTCCACTAGTCTTATCTGCTGCATCTGCAGACATGCTTTCAAAATGTATGAAGGTGAACAAACCTGCTAGGATACCATGTGAAATGTGAATAACTTACATAAAAAATATTTATTGATAATAGGCATCAACCTTTGTACAGAATAGAAATCCTGAAATTCAGCTAATTACAGTGAAACAACTAAATAGAATCTGTCCAAATAATGACAATCACTTAACAAAACAGTAGCCTATAATGTAGCCAATAAATGTGAAGAGGTACAAAAAACGAAACAATATCTCTGTTAAAATAAGGAAATAACTTTAACATCAATACTTAGCAAGTTAACATTGGATTTGGAAGTGTGGTATTGAAAAAATATTGTAATTCATGCTGAATAGGGTGAGCTTACGTAAAGTGTTTATTTTTTAATTCAACTGTTGTACAATGTGATATTCAGAAGTATTTTCTTATTGAACCATGCTGTCAAATATATAAAAAGATGGATATGTTACAAGAGAATATGGTGTATTGCTGAATAAACTCAAACTACAGAGCACTAGGAGTATTTTATCTTGTTCTTAAATGAGGTTATCCCAAATGGAATAATTGTTAACCTATTGATTAAATTAGAAGCTCACCTTCAATTATATCCAATATGACCTTTTCTCACTAGTTTACCCCCTTTCTCAAAAGTTATTCTTTCTTATTGATCATGTTCAAAGCAATTTTCCCTCTTTAATGTTGTTAAAATTTAGTGACCATCATAGCTTTTCCATGTTGCCAGGTTGCAGCTCTTGGTGCTATTAGCAACATAGTGATCAATTTTACACCACAAAAATCAAGATTCATGCAATGTGGAGGTATTAAGGAGCTTGTCCAATTGACAAAGTCTATGGATTCATCTTTACGGTTAAATGCTGTATGGGCCTTGAGGAACATGGTATTTCTTGCGGACAAAATGTGTAAGGAACGGATTTTTATGGAGTTGACAGTGTCTTCTGTAGCTAGCCTTATCTGTGGTAATGGTCTTCATTGCCAGTTCCTATTTTTTCTGATCAATTGGTGTGTACCCAAAAAAGTTATCATTGTACCCAAAAAAGTTATCATTGATTCTGGATACACTGCAGATCCTGAGCCTTCTGTTCAAGAACAAGCTCTGGCCCTCGTTCGCAATTTGGTTGATGGATGCATAGATTGTGTTGAATATGCTTTTGCTGAAGATGGTATCATACTGGATGCTGTTGGAAAGCAATTGCAAAAATCTTCAAAAATTGATATTGGGATACAGGTTGGAAATAATTTTTGAAACAGTGATTACAATGGACATTGTTATTGATGTTCCAATGTAATGATATATATTATGATTATGTTATGGTTCTCCTTTTTGTACCTTGGAGGGAAAGATGATTGATTTCATCAAATGTTTTTATGCTAGTGAAAGTATGCTAGTGAAAGTCTCTAGATTTTATTTATGCAACGAGAGATCATTGCCCCTTACAACAGATTGCTGAGGGAATTCCTCTGGGAAATACAGATTGACAGATGAAACGAAAGATACCCCAGAGAATGCAATAAGCAATCCCTACCCAGGCTTCTCATGACTCTGCATACTTCCTACAAACATTTAGCTTACTCCTAGGCAGAAAATCCTCTCCAAACACCATTGACACACTGCTAGCTGTCTATTCTGTTATACCTAGGGTCCCCTAGTCAACTTGGGTCCACGAGTGAATATTCTTTCATTTATATCTCTGTCACAGCCCTTTTGTGCTCCTTATTTCTCCTAGCATAGACTTCAGTTTAGCACCTAACATACCACAAAATCACCTTTTAAAATTTTAAACAAATTAATGCTCAAGATCTTATTATGAAGAATTTGCTATCCCATAAGTTTAAGTTATTAGATAAAGCACAAGAATGATTTTTATAGTTTCTAGCACGGTCCCTCATGCAAAATCCCTATGGACCTGAAGTGTGGACGATACACAAGCCTAACTACTTTGTACTGGAGTTAAACCTTTTATATTAGAAGAATGGTGATGGCATGGTACCAGAGCCTCTCCATGAATAGGTTATATTTCTAACATTTACCACTGTAAATCAGTTGCATAAAATGTTTACGCGGGGCAACAATAGATCCACTTGCATAATTTTTTCTTACTTGTGTGGTTCAATCAAGCCATTTTAAGATTAATGTCTTGGTTACTTATATTACTTCAATTTTGGGAGCATGGTTTTGTTAATGTTATTAGGGAGAAAAAAAATAAGAGAAAATTAATACATTTTGGCGATCTCAATGGAAGTGTGAAGGGTGAAGAAAGTATTTTTGTCCCAACAAGATAAAAATAACAAATTAGCACAATGAGTATATGAAAAAAGAAGCTGCAATTGTGTTGAAATATTATTTTTGAAGTTCATTATTATCTATCTGTGTAGGGGATGTACTTACTCAGCAATATTGCATGTGGAAAAGAATCTCATAAAGAAGCCGTCATGCAACTACTCTTTGCAAAAGCAGGAAACGTGTCTCACTCTTTCATTAGCCAGTTTTTGCAGAGCAATGGCAGTCGTTTACGCATCTCTGCCCTTTGGGTCATAGTAAATCTCACGTTTCCTGCAAGTCCTGGTGCGTTTGGTAGGATTGTAAAACTGCGTAATGTTGGCATTGTTTCTCAAATCAAGAAGATGGTCAATGATCCTTGCATGGATGTGAAGGTCTTTGAATCCTCTTTTCAAACTGATCTTGTTCTATACTTTCTCTAGACTCAAATACAAGTAGAGAATAACACACTAATTAGGAATGCTAGTTAAGAAATTTATGCTAATTAAGAATGTTAGTTAACCTTTATTAAATTAACTACATTTCCAGTATTATCGTTCACACTAGTTGATGGAAGACTTCAATTTTATGGGAACTTGTTTCAAATGGGAATTCTCCACTTTAAAAGCCATGCGATTGATTTCACTAGAATAAAAAGGGTTTTGGAAATAAAATTCGAATTAAATAAAAGGTATTTTAAGGATGATTTAATTAAAAAGGGTTGAATCAGTTAAGATTTGCTTTGGAGGAAATTCATCATCTTATTGTCATTTTGTAAATTTTCTTTTGTTGATGCAGCTTCGTGCAAGACAAATACTGGGGCAGATTATTACTTTTGGCGATAATTAATTGTAATCAGTTACTCCATTCAAAGCCCATGGGCTACAGGGAAAGAGAAATCTCGATAGAATTCATTTTCTCCCAATTACTTCCTTCTATTAAGGTGAATCCAGTATCCAGTTTGTGCTTCAGCATTAAGCATGGTATGTATCAGTGGATTTACATCAATGACTTCCTTGTCTTTTCTAGATGCTCATTTCTATTCTATTTAGGGGGCTACTGGCAAAATTTATTATGCTATTTAAAATTGGAATTGTTGACTGTTATTTAGTTATTAATATCTGCTTAACCTTAATTGGTTAACATGATGGTAAAACTGTATAAATTGGTAGTAGTTCAATATTTCCTATGACAGGCAAGCAACACTCTATAGATGAGCTGATGATTCTATTTCTTTCATCTTTGAGATATGTTGATATTTATTTAGGGTCAACTGCGAAGTAGTCTTTTTGGTTGTGGATGAAGATTTATGTTTTCCTCGTTGTTTTTCATACTTTCTCGCCCGCCCCTTTTTTTAGCTTTATTTTTTGTGCTGCTACTAGTTTGTCAATATGTTTCGCATGAAGTTTTTTTTTATTATTATTATTATTTATCACAATATGGTAATATATTCTTTTGTGTATATTTTTTCATGCTTTCCTCAGGTGTATAAAATTACTTGAATTTTTTTACCAGTCAGAGCAGTGTGAAAGATTTTCAATTTTGTAAGCACTCCTGACCAGGTTACTCCAAAGGCTCTTTTTCATTTGCTCACATTGTGCATCACCTTTTGTAAGTCGGAAGATCAAAGTAGATTTACAGGCTTTAGTATTGTACTATATGAGTAGTAAACGTCAATCTTAGAACTTAGTTTCGGTTGCATTCTGATTCTGTAATACTGAGAAATGATTCATTGTACGTGTAAGCAAAATGTCAAGGGGGCAATGATTGAGTGTATCTTTGCATGTCTTGTAAAATTTATTTTCTGGGTCATATTACTTCTGTTTTCTTTGGGAGGGGGGTAACAGCAAATGACCATTTTTTCTCACCTGTCCCAAAGAATTAGTTTCATATCTGAATGCTCGAGACTATGCTAAAATTAGTTGTTGTAATTTTTAAATGATTTTATTATATACTTAAATCTGAGCTATATATGTTTTTATAAGTAGATTCTTATTATATACTTATTTATGTTTTAGTAGATTAAGTTTATTGTATTTCAATGATTGGAATAAATCAAAACTATGGTAACTAACACAAAACATTGAAGTTGTAGCAAAACAGTGAGCGATTAATTATATTTTTTACTATATATTCTGGATTGTATTCTCTAAAAAAATGTAAATATTTTAAAAAGTTACTTTCATCATTATACTGAAATTAAAAGGTGAAGAAATAATTTAGGAAGATGTAGTAAACGATTTCCTTCCATATATTCTAACGGTTCTATGTGGAACAATCCCCTATCTCCAAAATAATTAGAATGGATAAATAATTTGAAAGTTTTTTTATTCAAATACAATTTATTATTTGTTAAAAAGTTATTATTTTTTATAATAATTATTTTAAAAAAATTATACAATAGAATATTTTTTTGTTAATTTTATAGTACATGAGAAATAATAAAAAAAATAAGTAAAAAACACGTTGTTAGTTATCCTTGATGAAAATATGTTTATAAATAAATAAATAAATCATAACAACGAAACCATAGCATGAAGCCAATGCCAATCCCGATTGGACAAACAGAACAAATAAGAAGTGCAGTTAACAAATAATATGCAGTACCTGTAATTATGTGAGGACACAAATGATATTTATTTAGTAAATCCTAATATCCTATGAAAAACAAATGCTTTTAATTTTCCAAAAACTTCGGAAGCGAACATATAGATTCTAGCGATTGCTTATACACTTACAACAAACGTCTAAAAATATTCATCCCTCTTGTAAATTCTTCATTTCAAATTATCTAAATAATGGATCGTAATTGGGAAGGTACAGAGATATACACAAATTACAGAATGCATTATAATATTCAGAGAAGAGGACACAGAAAACGAGTCTACAGAGAAAATATTGCCTCTGAAAAGAGAGAGATCGAAGGTCCAAATTTATCAGCCGATTTTTCATGTGTATGAGTCATCTGAAGGCCATATTACAGTTTCCATGAGCCGTTCCCTCATCAACTCCAAGTTTTCATCATGTATTTCTTGATATATCTCAGCGTGATTACATTTCTGCATGGCAATAAGGTGTAGAATACATAGCTTATAATTTTGTTGGGTGCATCACCCCTTCACAGAGGATTATAATTTTGAGTACATGAACTCCAAAGTTATAATTTTTCGTTCAATTACCTTGATCCATTTGCCATAAAGGTGAAGCCGTGTTATCATCACTCTTTCAGCAAGTTCAAGTTGCTCCTATCAACGGGGCCAAACAAAAAATTCCATCGGTTAAGACGTTGTGAAATATAATTATAAGAAGATATGTTTTATAGAAAATTATATGAACAATATCCTGTGTAATGTAGAAATGAAAATTGGAGGTGTGAAATGGAAGGAAACACAAACTGGACAATTTATTAAGCCATACACCTAGTAATTTGATAGATGTTATCCCCATTTTCTACTGTGAAAGTGTTTTCTACTGATCAGATTACATACCTTCCCCAGGGATCGTATAAAACGTTTCCTATCTGCTGGGTCGTTTGCTGCAACGAAACTGTCAACATGGAAAACAACAATAACAATTAGCCAAAAAATAAACCTTACTATGCCTACACAAAGCTAATTAACTTTACTATTTGCTTGTAGTAATCAGATAAATGTAGTAGAAAACTATAAATTGTGAGAGGTATCCATGTTCATTACTACTTGACTGCGTTATGTTCTTCGAGATAAACTATGAGACTGTCAGATTTTGAGCTAACCAATTAGTTGAATGTGAGAATGTGAAGATTCCCTGACTGAAGAGAATCCTATTTCCACTTTCCACAATCAAATCTAATTTAGATAAACATTGACTGAACCAGAATATTTGAGAACCTTTCTATATAGAATGTTTGCAATCTTCTCTTTCTTAACAAGCTCAGGTTGAACTACTATGTCAACAATTTAGAAACTTGCTTAACATATCACAGCTAAAATAAACAATTACAAGGGCATTGAAGTTCGAGAGGAAATTAACATTCTTGCTACAACATGAATTTGACTTACTTATAGAACCACCTATATTGAGGTGGGTTCATCTCATACAACTGTTGAAGAACAGTCCTCACAGCTTTGTATGTGAAATAATTGAGTATTTGCTGTATGTATTCAAAGATGAAGACAATCAAATTGCAAACAAACAATAGTGATACCAATATTATAAACTGATGGCAAATTAATCACATTTTATTAAGTGTCGTACCAAGATTATTAAAAACATAGTTTGCTCCACTTAATTTGTTTGCTATTTTCAGTACCTTTTTAACATCATGAAAAGTTTCCTCATATTGGCCACCGAGCTCGTTGACAATAGTGAGTCTCTTGGTCCTCTTCTTGTGCCTGCCCTGCTTCTTCAAACTTGTGTTAACACTATGACTCTCAAAGAAGGAACTACTGAGTTTCATGGTCCCACGTCTCAGCAAGTGTTTCCTCTTCAGACTCAGACTCGGACTATTGCACACAGCACTCACCCTAGTGGGGGTGCTTCGAGCTTCCACGCAGAAACAAGGGCAACTGTGCGACTCCACCGCAATATATACACCACCCACCATCCTACCTTCAAACCCAGATGAAATCTATTTCTTAAAAAAGTGCAGAGTTGATAATTTGAAAGATCACTGGAAATGGAAATTCATTATAGTCAAAGATACATAGTTAGATAGATGCATGCTTCTTTTGAAGCTGGGATTTTGAGGTGAATCTTAACCAAACAAAAATTCTGAGGTCCAAAATTTTCAAACCAATGTTGCCTTTTCCAGTTTGGCCAACTCTCCTGGATTCTTGGAGTAAATTTCGGGTCTCAGCCTTGGAGGATGAAAAATTAAACCCGTAACCTGCGGTAACCGATGCGTGTAACTCGAGTTTAACCAGAGAAAACCCGAGATGACATGTGGTTCGGGTTTTCCGGTATTATAATTTCTATTCCGATTTTTTTTTTCGTTTTTATTTTATATTTAAATTTAAATTTTAAAAATATTAATATTTTAAATGATTTTTTTATTATAAATGATTTTTTTTATATTTTACTATTTTTGTTTTTTTTTATATTAATTAATTTATTATATTATTTTTTATTGTATCTTTTTTTATATTTTTTAATTTTTTTAATTAAATTAAAAATATATTTAATTAATAATAATTATATACTATAAAATTAGACAAATAAAAATTAATTTATTATATATAATTATTTTTTTAAAATAATTCATGATAAAAAAATCTAAAAATCAATAAAAATAGAAAGTTAATTTTTAATCCGACACAAATCGAATATGAGACCGGTAACTGTTAGAAAAGTTGGTCGGGGTCGCCATACCTAATGCCTTGCCACCAATCCACGCGCGCACACCGCTATGACAATAAATATTCATGTTTTTTAACATTTTTATTAAAATGAGTTCATATGCATTTTGATTTTTGTATATATATATATATATATAAAAGTGAAATATAAAGTGAAGTTCAAAATGTAATGTGTGCATGTCATTGAAAAGAATATTGTGTACATGTTGCTGACCCGTTTTAGTGATAAAGAAAAATTGGTGCGTGGGTACATTAAATAAAAGAAGAATTGGTCCCCAGAATATTTGAATACCTACTTTCTCACCACTTTGTCTGCCATTCTAAACATAATATAGGCCCTAAGAGGTACTTGTGTCAAAATCCAACCTTTTAATGGGTCATAAAATGAATTATCCTGTCCTATATTTGGTATGTCAAGTTAAGGACCTCACTTATCCCACTACATAACACTTTAATGGGTTTCTTTTAATAAACAAATATATATATATATATATAGATATAGTTAACATACACACTTAGTGAATATTTGATTAATTAATATATTTTATTAAATAGTTTCAAAATATTAATTATTCTTTTCCATTGTTTAATTATAAAAATTAAAATAATTTTAATTATACTGTTATGATTTTAACCTAATTTAATCATTCTTACTAATTTATTATTTTCCCTGGATGATAAATATAATTAAGAAAATCAAAATATAACTAATAAAAATATTTAATACAATCATAAATAACATATAAGTAAAAAATTTTAAAACCCAACAATGAAAACACTTATAAAAAGTACTATTTTTATATAATAAAATATTAATTAAGTCAATAATCAAATTTAATTTATAAGTATTTATTATTATATACTTATAATTTTTAAATAATACAACAAAAATATTATATTTAAGTTATAATTTATTTATTTAATTATTGAATTAATTTAAATATAAAATAATCACAAGCCAAATTTGTATCTTAATTTTATTTAAAGGAATAATAAGTAACAATTACTTAGTGATAAAATTCATTATTTTATTATGAATTTTATATATAAGTTATATAAAATTAATATATATTTATATATATATATATATAGTTTTAACTAATTTTAAATCACTCATATAAAAAAATATTTTTTTATTTATAAATACTTTTTATATATACATTATAAGGAGAAATGAATATAATGAAAATATCATCAATTTAACAAGGGACGGCTAATAATTTCGCCATTTTCAAGCGGTATCTTCTAGTATGTATTGATAATCATGTGGTAGAAAAAAAATTATGAATAATCCTGTAATATTTAAATAATAATAATACTAATAATATATAATTAGTGGAATTAAAATTAAAAAAAATGTTTATGTAAAAATGGGTTGTACCTAACGAAACAAGACTTAATAAGAGTTGAAGTTGTAGTTGTTATTTTTAAAAGGATGTGGTTGATAATTATGGTTTAATTAATAATAGCTCTTTATAATTGTAAATGGGCGGTTGAAAAGCATAAATGGCTTTTCTCTCCTTTTAAAGTAATTTTGTCTTTGGATTCCTTATTTCACTCCCTCTGTTTCTCCGTTCTTGTGTGTTAGTAAAAGGACTTACTTTTCTTGTGTCAGCAGCACACACAACCCTTTTCATTTCTTCACACATCATTACTTCTCTTCTCTTCTCTTCTACAAAACCCTTTTTTCAGTCAAACATTTCAAACCACTCTCCATTAAGTTAAGCTTGTGTTGTGCTGGTACACACACTATCTTCTTAGTTATATCTTCTCTATCTGCTTCAATCTCAACCTTCTTGCCATTGCCACCTTTTTTTATAGAAACCTTTACCATTATTCTTTCAACTAACTCTCGCAAAGCTTTTCTCTCTTGAACATTATCTCAAGAAATGGTCCCTTCTGAAAGGACAACAACATCCACAAAAAGGAAAAGAACAAGAGCAAAGCCCGCAAGAAGAGGCCATTGCAAGAAGCAGCATCAAGAGAGCAGAAAACAAGAATCATCAAAGAAAAGGGATATGGATTTTGCAGATGCTGCTACGTGTTCCACTCCCAAAGGGAAAGAGTTTCGTATACCACAAGTTTCAACATGCCCTCCAGCACCAAAGAAGCCAAGGATGCTTTCTAATTGCTCTTTGCGTAGATCACCTTTAACATTCTTTGCACCACCTGACTTAGACATCTTCTTCTGCGTTGCGCTTCAAGATCTTCCCGTTTCATTTGTTTGCTAGTTTCTATATGTATACGATCTCATGACACTTTAAGAGATGCATGGAGTTTTGTTCTGTGTTTTTCCTTTTGTCCTTTTCTACTTACACTGAGAGCTCAAAACTTGGATCTTGGAGATTTTTCTTAGCTATGAACAGTTATTCACCCTTTCTTTCTGCTAAATCTAGGAGGGTGACAACTTGTAAAATCTGTCTCTAAATTAGATTTAGGTTTTTCTAAGTTTATTTTTTTCTTCCTTTGCTATAGAAGATATATCTTACCTTAGATTTGAAGTGTGCTGAGTGCAAAGATAGTGGGTGGGTTTAGGGTTGAGTGTGATAGCTTGCAAAGTTGCAAGTTGCCATAAAAAGACATAGTTTTGTGATGTGGTTGCTCTGAGAGAAATTAAGTCATATATACCTCCTTTATGTATGCAATCTCATCTTTTATTTTCTCTTCACTTGTCTTAAGAATTTTGTTATGTGTTCATAGTAATTTTACTTACTTGACTTGGATTAGTCAGATATATATAATATTCATACATGATAATTTTATAAAGAAAATTAAGGAGGCAATTTAGATCATGTTTATGGAACACCTGACAGAAAGGAATAAGAAAATAATGTAAAAGAGGCAAGGAAAACAAAAATGCATGACAGTTTCAAATAAGATCTGAATAAAAATGATGCATTTCTAAGACTTTGTTTGAGGTAGGTTAAGTCAGTTGAAACCTTTTCAATGCATCTGCCATTAATTTTTATTTTTTCTAACATTCACTTGCTCTATTAATAACTAATTTATATTAACAAATTAATTAACCATTTTTTATAAAATTTCTTCTTTAACTTACATCTTTATGTTGATCATATTCTGGGGTTTCCAACAAATCTATGAGAACTATTATTTTAAAAAATTATTTAAATTGGTGGGTATATTGCTCAATATGAAAATGAAGGAGAATCTTGAAGTAATATATTTGGCTGTCGTCGTATGTTAGAGAATGAGAATAAAATCAAAAATAAATTTTTTTTAATCAAATATATATTTTAGAGTGTTAAATTATTCAAATATTATATATTATAGACTAAGAAAAAGTTAAAAAAATTAATAAAAAATCTATTTTAAAATTAAAAATATAATAATAATAAGTAAAATTTATAACTTAATCACTGTCTGTATAAATTAAAGGTGAGTTAGCAAAAATCTGACTTAAATAAGCTCAATAATATGTTATTAATTAAGAAATAGGTTTGATAAAATTAAAGTCAATATAATTCGTATACACCTTTAATACGTTTATTTATTTTTAATTATATTTGTAACTACAAAAATTTAACTCAATGTGAAAGATTAGTGTAAGTTATTTAATAATTGAAGTGTCAATTTTGATTTAAAAATAAAATAAAATGTAGTCATATATAATATATTGTCATAAAAATTACTATTATTTTCACCTATATTATTCTTATCATTTCTGTTATTCTCACAACTACTTTTATGATATTTACCATTATTCATGTTGACAACTATTAATATTCTTATCATCATCTTAAATTATCAACACTTTAACTATTATTATTATTATATAAAAATTATTATTATTATTTAATGTTTATAAGAATACACACCTTAATTATATACATATTTTTAAATATTTAATAAAAATTGATATCATTTATTAGATAAAATAATAATATTTTTTAATTTATAAGTATTATATTATAATTGTTTATTTTAATTTCACTATACAAAATACATATAAGCAAAGTAGTATGTCTAATTCCACCTCTACTGTTTTATTTTTTTTTTCTAAAATTTGTGGTTTTTTTTTATTTTTATTATAGTGATATGACCTAAATAAAATTTTTATAGTTATTTTATTTTTTTATTACAATATTTTTTTACTTAATAATTTTGTTTGACTAGAGCATACTATATAGGATGAAATTTGTGGAAAAAAAAAGTGATTAATTTGAATAAAGAATATAACAAATATTCATCATAAGAGAAAGTCAAATAAAATGATGTTGAAAATTTATTCAACCTTAATGTTTTGTCAAATATTTCAATACAAATAAAATAATAATAATAATTTAAGCAAGTTTTAATATGATATTTTCATAAAATTTTAAGTTATATTATTATTTTATTTTGTTTAAATTCTATTTATTTTTATTTTTAATTGAATAGTATTAATAAGATAAAAAAGTAATTTAAAATTTAAATAGATAAATTAATAAAATAAAAATAATCAATACTCTTGTATATGTTTAAAGACAGAAGATAATAATAATAATAATAATAATAATAATAATAATAATAATAAGATAAAGATGGTGAAAATAATATTAATAATAAAAAATATAATAATAATATTAAAATAATCAATCATTTGCAAATGAGTTCATTAATTAGTTGAGATATAATTTTTAAATATATATATATATATATATATATATAACATTTAATTATATCAATATTTTGAAATATTTATTAATTAATTAGTATAATTTATTAGATAAAATGAGATGATGATTAGTTTTTATATTAAAATACTTAGTTATAATAAGTAATAAAAATTTAACATATAAGTATTTGTAATTTAAACTATAATTCTATTGTGTATTTATTTTTTAAAATAAGCAAATATAAAAATTATAATTTATTTATTTATTTTAATATATAAAAATATGAGTTAAATATCTTTTTCAAGTATATTTTTGTCCATTGACTAAGCCAAGGAGAGACTTAATAAACTATACCTTTCTATCCATTTCTAATATTTCAAGATGGAAAAAAAAAAAAAAAACTTAAGCCCAATTTATAGTAGTAGTTGGTTGGTTGGTTGGGTTTGTATTAATGAAATTGAAACGGTATCAGATATAGTTAAATTTTAATGTTTTTTTGAGAAAAAAATAATTTTTTATTATAAATAATTTTTCTTTTTTAATATGTGTTTATTCCCACAGGTTAAAAGTTTTGTTCTCAACCACTCAAACTCAAAATTTTGAATTTAATTTTAAGTATGATTGACTTTTTCTTGTTTATTATCTCTTTGAATAGACATTAAATTTTTTGTGTGTCCCTAAACAGGACCTTAAAAAAGTAGTGCCACGTTTTGAAGCAATCTGAATATATTTAATGCATTTTGAAGTCACTAAATTGAATGTGTATGTGTGTGAGGTGATAGTACGTGTCCTACTCACTCCTCACTGGCAGGTAAGGCTCACCTTTTCCCACTTTTTTAAGAAAAGAATTCGATTTATTTTTATTTATATGGTGGAGAATCAATAATTCATCCGAGGAAACTAAGAAAGAGGACACGTGGCTCACTTTGCTGTCAATTCTCGGACGCTGTGGGTCCCGCCCTCAGGCCACGCGTTCACCGGATTCTGCTACTCAAATGCGTGTCACGTGCCCCAGAAATTTTGTTTCTTTTTCTTTCTTCAGAGGCTCTGATATCCTCACCCTCCCCCCTCTCACTCCCTACTTGTTTTCTCCTTTTCCCTCCCTCTTCAACCCACGTGTCCCCTCCTCCAGTGTGATGCTGACGTCATCGTGGTATGTCACTTGAAATTTTAACACCCAACACTGGACTAAACTTGCTAGTGTTGTTAAGATTATTTTTTATTTTTATTTTCACTTTCACTGATGTTGTTGCTTCTCACCAATTTCTTTATCCTCTTATAACAACTCAAGTGAGATATCAACATACATCACCCCAAATTCTAGATATAGCAAAGTTTTTTCATTTGCCTCCCACCTCCCCAATTTCCTTGATCATCCCGGGAATTTGGTCTAATTGTGATTCATTCTCTCTGGGAGACTTTTGAGGTTAGGGTTTTGGGGAGTTAGTCTTGTGTTTGTGTGATCTGAGTGGAAGGATTCTGTGTCTGCATGTGTGAATTCTGGCAAGGTATCACCCAGACCCTTTATTTTTTGTTATGGCATGTGATGTAGGAAATTGTTTCTTGTTGTTAATGAGGTTGAATTGGGATTTTGGTGCATGTACTAGGATCAGCTAAACCTCCAAATTTTTGTGATATTCTATTATATATAGCTCATTAGCTAGTGTGTATCTGCTTGTTTGATCAATAGCTAAGGTTGCATGTTGGAATATCCCCTGTTGCTGTTTGGTTGTGTGACTAAATATGACAGAAACCAATTTTGCTGAATGTTATGACTTTGTTCTTGTAGGGGCATTTGGTTGCTGGGCACTGGCTAAGATTTGAAAGATTTTATCTTTACCTTGAAACAGTTGCAGCTCCTGCTGAAGATCAAGTAAGAGCAAAATGAAAGCTTTCTTTTAAACCCTTCTTTGCCTCAACAAGTTTTGTCTTTTCATGATGAATTTTAATAATTTTGAAAGGGGGTTTCATAATTTTCTTTACCTTGCGCATGTATCATAATTTTATGCATGTGAGGCTATAAAATCTTTTGAGATGGCATTACCAGCAATCTGCATGCAGCATTCGAAGTGGTTGTACTCAATGTGGCTTTACTAGCAATCGGCATGCTTTATTTAGTATTTACATTGTGCGAATGTTTTCCAAACCTTTATATCAGTCAGTCATGTCCATTTTGCACTTCCCCTGCAAAGAGTGCTCGCATTTTCTTGTTGACCACTATCAAGTTAATACTTTTACTTCCCACCTTTTCTGCACTCCTGATTAATGATCTATATTTTTTTTAAGAAAAAAAAATCAGCTTGGGGAAGCCACAAGGGAAATTACTGGTCTTGATTGGAGTTCAGTTCCAACTTCCAACGTCCCCTGTGTTATCATCAAAGTTTTAAACGGCACAGTTATATGATTTATTTAGCATGTTTCTTGTGAACTGAATTGTATTACATATATGAATTGATCAATTTTTACGTTCAGAAGGTTTGCTCTTTAATGTTTCTGAGAAAATTATGTCTATAGTTTCAGAAATGCCTTAAATATCCATTCTTTTAATGACACTGGAGGGTCTCTTACTGTAAAGGGGAATAATCACTGTCTTTATCGACTTCTATTTATCTTTCCTTTGTTTTAGCATAAGGAATAAAATTTGAACCTTCAATATACTTTTGTAGGGATCTGGGGATAAGATATGGAATCCAAATCTGAAACTGCTAATCAGCCGAGGTCTAATCCACGTTCCTTTACACCTAACAATGTTTATTCTGAACCCTGGTGGCGAGGTATTCAGTACAATTCTGTTCCGCAAGCAATGTCAGGGGTGAATGCATCAAATTCATCTTCACTTGAACGCCCTAACGGTGATTCAGAATCCAGTGGAGGTCAATCTTTGTCCAATAATGGGTTGAACGAGGAAGAAGATGATGCCACCAAAGAATCGCAACCCACTGCTCCTAATCTATCAGGTACTTTAGATTATATCGTGAAGAAAACTTACAAACATTGAAATCAGTAAAGGAAGTGTTTTCTTATATATAATGCCTCAAATTATGTTTATGTGATTTTTTCATTATTTCCAAGTGTTACAAGCTTACAGGATACTGGAATACTATATTATTTTCTTGGCAGGAAATTATGGACAAGACCAACAAGCGATGCTGCATTCTTCATCATCTGCACCTTCTAGGCGTGATGATTGCCTGACACAGGTTCCACAGCTGGAACTTATCGGTCATTCATTTGTAAGACTTGCCCTCATTTGATTATTTTTTTAGCAAAAAGAGAAGGGGCAAAGATTATAACTTTATGACTATGTTTAATAGCATTAATTTTTTGCTGTTCTGACTTGTCTACGTTGAAAACTCTATTATTGGAAAAATTATAGTTGCATCTTGCATGCTTTTGTGATGGATCCTAGTATGCTTCAGATTCTTACTACAGGCATGTGCTACAAATCCTTATTACGGGGGCATGACTGTAGCATATGTGTACTAGCAGTTGAATGTGAGAGTAGCCAGTGTTTTTAAATCATAAAAGCTTTCTACCTGTAGTGCATGCCTCATAAATGAGCCTGGTTAGAATTTAGTTTGTGCATCACCTACGAAGATAGATTCTTGCTATATGAAAAAATTGTTTATCGCTATTTGGTCTATTTTCTGTTTCAAACCATGCTGATATTGGAAGGGATATCATTCTGATGATAAATAACCCTCTTGTATTTTCACTATTAGGGATATGCTCCTTTTATGGGAATGCCTCATGCCAGAATGGCTTTGCCACTTGAGATGGCTCAAGAGCCTGTTTATGTGAATGCCAAACAATACCAAGGAATTCTGAGACGAAGACAGGCTCGTGCTAAAGCAGAGCTTGAAAAGAAATTAATAAAAGTCAGAAAGGTATAAATTTGCACTAGCAAATGCTTCCGTATGCATGTTTCTTACTCTATTGTTCTGTAGTGAATTTTTGCATTGTCTATTTTGGAAAGCCATATCTCAAAACATTTCAGGTTTCGTACATCTGTTCCCGCATATTTTATTTGACATTATTCTACGACCAATTTACTCGATGCTGAGCTATAACTGTAGACATGCAGACATTTTAACCCTGTACGTATATCTACCAATGATACAACCAAAGTATCATAATTGGAAATCTAGTAACCTCTGGATCTTTGACCATTTTAAAATCAGTAGAAGAGTTTAGCATAGTGCTGCTTTACCTAAATGTGTAATGCTTTGGATCTCAAAAGACTCAATAAAGTAATATGGTGAGGAGCTTTTCTTCATTATGGTTTACACACACATATATCAAAAATCAAAATTTGTTTTTGAATTAAACAGGTTGGCTCTAGTATAGTACTAATGCTTAATATTTGTACATATAAATCTGGGATCACCCTTTGGGTATGCTAACCTTTGTATCTTCACAGCCATATCTTCATGAATCTCGGCATCAGCATGCTATGAGAAGAGCAAGAGGTAACGGAGGGCGCTTTGCAAAGAAAACTGATGTCGAGGCTTCAAACCACGTGAACAAAGAAAAGGATGAGGGTGCAGGTCCAGTCCCATTGTCACAGTCAATATGTTCATCTGGTTTAGGACCAATACCCTCGGATTCTGCTTCGAACTGGAACCCTTCCAGTGTGCAACAAGACGCAAAAGGATCTCAAGTGCATGAGAGAATTGAAAAACACAACTATGCAAATGTTTTGCAGTCATCATCTACCTTTTGTTTGCACTCGGGTGAGAGAGGGGAGGAAGGGGACTGTTCAGGTCAACAACGGGGAAGCATCTCCTCTGAGCACACCTCACAGAGGCGTCTTGCTATTCAGTAAGCCACTGCATGGGGTCGATGGTGAGATTGGTGTATAATTGAATGAAGTAGTAGGTTGAGTTGAGTATCTTGGTTACCTATCTGTAAACATTGGCAATTTGCATGCCAAGCGGCAAATCATTCTTGGCTGTGTTTATGCTGCTGTTCATGATATGGGGAGAAGAATGATTGATTGGGCCATGATAATTGTCTTGTTGAAGTCAACCAGTCCTTCATTATATTCTCTTTTTCTTCTTTTTTTTGTAAACAGTTAGAGTAGTTGACAAAGTCAAGCCAACGGATTAGAAGACTTGATGAATGACTCACTTTCTGGCGGCTTTATTTCATGCATCAACGGTTGGTTATTAATGTTAAGCATGAGACATCATATGAGATTAAGTGCACCATTGTATTAGCATCTGTTCAGGATTTTTTTCATTTCAACGTTTTTTCTTGTGTTAATAATAGGTCATTGGTTCAACAAAAGTTCAGTCTAATATCTTTTAACAAAACTTGTAACAACTACTGGGTAATCAAAACACGAATGCTACTTGAAATGCTCTAATGTTATTTTTCCTTCAATGTTTTTCACTTTAATAATTTTCGCCAAAATGGGATAAATTGGAAGTTATAGGAGTTTTCAGCAGAGGATGACATATCGGGCTGCCAAACTTGAATTATGTCATTTTTTAACTGAGTTGAGCGTGTATGGTTCTAAGTTAAATTCTGACGAACCCAACACTGCTTTCATTCATGGCAACAATTTACATTATAAGATTTATCTCAACATCTTAATTGAAATGTACTAGTTTCTCGGAGGATCATGCCAGGAAACACTCACATATGACATAAAAGCTTTTGCAACCGAATCAGGTACCATCTTGGAAATCCTGAAAGGTGACCAATTACAGAACCATATGGCGGCAAGTCATTTTTTTTTTTCTATATCAAAAGGTGACCATATCCAGAACCACACTAGCTCTACTGAAAATATGAGAGAATCTACATTTTTATGTCCAACTGGATTCAGTGCAGTCCTCTCTATTCTTTGTATTTTAAACAGTCAGTGTATTGTTGTTGAATAAAGAAAGCACAACTCAGATCTCAAATACACGTTTCAAGTCTAATTTACCGAGAAAAAAAAATGTTTTCCATTCTTCAACTGATGTTTCCAAGTTACTAATTGCGTGAATGTTGCAGATGATCTGGATCATTTTTGGGCCTTCAAAGTAGAAAATTACAAAAGAAACTACTTTCTTAGCCCCAATACCTGAAGAGGTGTCAAAGCTTCTCAGCCAATTTTTTGAGTTACTATTCCTTTAATACATCCAGTGAGAGTGAACAATCCAAAAACAAAGCCAAAAATGCTGAAAGTCCGAAGCAGGACCCACTTAGTCGTCCACGCTACAGTACTGGACTGACTCAAATATATTTCCACCGGAAAATATATGGTCAATGGCCAAAAAATTATGCTACCCAGAACCCCCAAAATCTGGTTGAAGTAGGGAAAGACCATTGCAATCACAGTTGTTGATGCAACATAAGCAGTTCTGAAAGACAGGCTGAGAAAATTAAGTTCAAAGGCTGGTAGCAACGGGAGTTTCAAGACATATGTGTGATTCACAAATTCACTATCCGGGAAATTAAAACGGAACCAAGTCTCAACAGTGGCAAAAAGTGGCTGGCAATACACCTGCACCAAAACAAAGTACATGACAATTAAATGTACGTGCATTCTACCATAGAAGACACGAGTAGATAGAAGATATATTAAAAATAACAGAACTGGCAAAATGGTTACACTATATGATGATTTCATGACAAGCTACTCCAAGACAGGTGATGGATAATATAGGAATTGAAGAAATATTAAAAGTGACTCCAAGATAAGAATTGACATGGTATCTCTAGATTTACATGTACCTGATATGAACCAACAAGGTGAACAACTATACAAACGTTAGCAAAGTTCACAAGCCAGAAAGACTTAGAGGATTCAAACCCTGTTAAAAGGTTTCCTGGTGTATTATCACCAAAGGCAGCATAGCCTGCACCTCCACAACTGAGGTACATAAATGTTGTGACAGTGACTGCAATTACTGAGGCCTTCTTCATGGTTTGGTTTTCTGGTGGAGGTGCTTTCAAAGTATCCTTCAAGGATTGAAGTAAATTATATCAGCTTTTATACGTAAAGTTACAGTCTAGTATGTGAGTCTGCAGGGTATGTACCTGTATTTCCATAATAATTGTAGAGAATGGAAACGAGAATGATATGTCACCAAGAGCTTGAGAAACCAGCCATAACTTCTCAGTTCCACTGGAGGTACTGATTCCTCCAATGCTACCCTCAGCATGTCCTTTTTCTGAGCAAATTTTTATAAAATTATACACATTTATCTGATCAAAACTAATACTTAGTCCAACAAATATTTTCAAGCAAACGTCCATGCAGAAGCCAGCCATGGTGAGCCTAAGCAAAGACTCCCATCATACCTATGATTTGTGCAATGGAAAGCCCCATTCCTATGAAAGAATAAGTAAAGGACATAATTGCAGCAACAACCGACAACCATTCGATGTTATGAAAGTTGGGTATCTGTGAGAGCACAATTTGGATAGCCCCAAAAAGCAGCATATAATATGCATCTACAGATTCACAGGTTGCTTCACTCCCTCCGTTGTGGTAACAAAATGAATTTTGGATTGTTCTGCAACCACAAATACAAGTAGCAGTCCAAAATAACACTGGTAATCACACGGTGATATTCTTGGGACAGTCTCATGTTTCATTAATGGAGTAACAGTGAATAGAAATCTTATTTTGCAACAGGTAGCATCCATAGATAAACAGAGGGGAAGAATAGCAAAGACAAGAAAATGTCATAACTGGAGAGGAACCAGTGCGATAAGTTATCAACACACCTTAAGCTGATAGCTGTTGTAATGACGAAGGCAATTGCAAAACCATACAAACTTATATTCACAAGAAGGCCGCTGAGCCGCCCATTACTTATTCCTGCAACCACCCAAAGATGATCTTGTCATATAAATAGCATTCTTGCCTATAACAATGTGGTACCAAGATGTTATTTTTTGTTGTAATGCATGATTGTAAGGAATATCCTTGGTATCAAGACTTGGAAACGTTCAAAAGTGAGTTGACACCTCTCAACTAGATTTTTCCATGCACAAGAGTTAGGATTCGAACTCCTAACCACAAGCTTAGATGAACCGAGTTCATCGCCACTCGAAGGTAAATAATACCAGGAGTATTCTATTAGTATAAATCATATCACACCAAATCAATATCAATTTCAGAATATCTAGTTTCTATTCTCTCTTCTTCCTTCCCTACCTAAATCCCTATAATCTCAACACTCCAATATAGAATTTAACGTTGAATTTCTCTAATCAAATCTATACAACACATTGTTCATGAAAAGAAGAGAAAACATTCAAGCTCATCACCATTCAGAGTTAAGTCGCCGCCTCCCAACCAGATTTTTTTTTTTTTTCATATACAAATGTAATGCAAGATGGCAAGGAATATCCTTGGTCATTTATGGAGACTAATTTCTTCCGGGAGATCTGAAAACACTCAAAAGCGAGTTGTCCCCTCTGAACTAGATTGTTTTCCATAAACGAGCTAGGACTCAAACCCTAACCACACGCTTAAAAGAACCAAGGTCATCATCACTCAAAGCTAAGTTGACCGTCTCAACCAATTTTTTTTTTTCATACACAAGAGTGAGGATTCGAACTCCTGACATAGTGCTTAACTGAACCAATGTCATCATCACTCAGAACAACCACTGAGTGGTACCACATGTCATGTTATAGAAGAAAATAGAAAGGGAATTGTGCTTACCTAAATGCAAATGGACCACATCAAGGTAGGAAGCACTCCTGTTTGGACCTAGCTCAGGGTGGGGATGGCGATAAGTGTTGCATAGAAGGAAAGAAGAGAAGAGAGTGATGGAAGCAATAAGAATGATTGAGAATGGGCCAGCAAGCCAACCAAGCTGTGCAGTGCTCCATGGCAGAGACAGCACTCCCGATCCTATGACCCCAGTCACTATGTGTGCCACTGCTGTCCACACCGTCCCTTTCATTCACAAGTTTCAATTCATCACATTCACAACAAACACCAACATATGAGTTAGTAATAAATATGATGAAATAGATAGATGACTATTCACTTTTGCACTAAATGTTTGAGATGACACAACTCAACACAAACCTGTCCTTTTGAGAGGACTAGGAGGTTCCGTGAGCAACAGTGGGATGTTCTCACTTGACTCAAGTGCCTCACCCATCTTCTCATTCACATCTATTCCTATATAAGATGAGATGCTATGTGCCTCATTCTCCATCTTGCCAATTCCTGGGATGGGACCTTAAATGGAAAGCAGTGAGTGGGAGAAAAAATTGGATTTTTCTCTTGTTGAGTTGTTAGAGAGAACGGGATGGGCAAAAGGGTCAAAAGGCCATGTGGGAAGGAAGAATTGAGAAATAAGAACTGTACACAGTCAATGGCAGATATTAGAAGATAATGCTTATTATCAGCCAAATTAAAACCTTTTTTCTTTTTTTTCATGCTATCGTTGTTGTTTTGAAGTTGGTTCCTATAATATGAGAGTCGTATACGAGTCTAGTAGTGTGGTGTTGGTGGTTTGAGGTTTGAGGTTTTTACCTCGTCGTTTCACCATAAACAACAAAACCTGCTCCACATCAACACAAGACCGTGCTGAATTCCAGATCCTTTTTAAAGGTTTGGGTTAAAATTTTCAACACAGGTTTGATTCAAACACACTACTTCAATGAATATAATGAGTTCAAGTTCGATTATAAAAAAAATTATTTATTTAAATATTTTCTGTTAAAAATATGTTAATAATATACAATTATTTATATACTACAAACAAAAAATAATTTGTACTTGATGCTACTCTTGAAAAAGGCAATTCTTCTCATATTAAAAGCATGCCAACGTAGCGGTTGATAAATTTAATGGAACAAACGAAAATAGAATAATTGACTTTTGTTTAGTGTTTCACACGTACTAAATGTAAAATAAAAATAAATATATGACATAAATAATATTTAAATATCTTTAAAAATAAAAACAAAAATATCACAAAACATTTCCATGTGAATAGAACAACCTAAAACAATAATTTATATTCCAACGACACTAAATAAATAGAGATAACAAAAAAAAACTATTTCCTCGAGAGAAACGCGACATTAATTAAAAAAAAATACCCAGTCAGAGTGAAAGCCTATTTAATAAAAATAAATTATATGAAAATGAATATAAATCAGGAAAATTCTCTATTTATCTCTCTTCTTTGATAAATTTCTATTGTTTAATAATTTTTAAGCAATGAAGACAATTAATACATTCTTCGAACGCTAATAAATATTATTTAAGAATAAAAATACATATTTTATTATAATTTTATATTTAAATTATTTAAAAATAAAAAATTACTTAAAATTAAAATAAAATTATTTCTATAAATAATTCTGATCATATTCTAAATAATTTACCTATAAAATTTATAATAAAATATTTAATTTTATTCTTAATATTATTTAATTAATAAAAATAGTTGTATAATAGGTATTTTGCCAACCCAACATTTCCGTATTCTTGAACGTATAACTCAATCTCATCAAATTACTTCAATGGCTGAAAGTTATATTGAGTAAATGACGAAAAATAAAGAGAAATAAAATAAAAATGAAAGTTATTTAATTTAAGAGATGTTTTATTAGTATTATTATTTTAATATTATTATTAGTATTGATTAATTATTTCAGAATATAATATTAAATACTGTTAAAAACCTTAAACATTATTCACATTATTTTATTTTATTATTAAAATAAATACTTATATTGTGTTTGTTAATATTTTTCTACCATTTTTTACATAAAAGATTTTTAAACGTTAAATCTTAAACCATTTTTTCATATTACAAAATAAAATAAATAAATTCATTGTAAATGATGTAACAGGTGAAATACAATTAAATAAAATAAAATCTCATAATCTCATAATTCAATATTCATTCCTTTTGCTGCATAGATTCTAACTTGATAACATTAACATATGTTAGGTTGGTGCATCTGAAGATGGGAAATAGAAATTAGGACAGCAATAAATAAATGGTACCTGAAACTACTTTATCTTTACTAGGTAGGCTATGTGTTCTTTGTGCCACAAATAACTATATATTATTAATACTTTTAAGAATATTCTAAATGGACTAATGCTCTTACTCTCAATTAAACATTAGTTTTTTAATATCAAATTTCTTATCTTTATAATATCTTCTTTACTTAAATTCATCAATTATTTTTAGAATTAATTGTGTGAGATTCTTGCCATATAAATTCTGATTTAAGTTATATAAAATAATCACTATCATCTAATTATTTGATATATTGTTATTTTATATTATCTATAAAGTATATTTATTATTCCAGAAATTATATATATATATATATATATTATCTTATATTATCTTTTTCTTCTACTTATTATTATTATTATTATTATCTTTTATTTTATATTTTTTAATGATATTTTATGGATAATGAAAAATAATAAATAAAGGTATATTATATATACAAATTTTAATTTTGATAGGTCAACACTTTTTTTAAATATCAAAGCTAATATTTTTTTATAAGATTTTTAAAACAGTATAAAGGACACTCAAGTAAACAACTTTTAATTTTAATATTATAAATTTCATCAACTTTTCAAATTTATATTTCTCCCTCATTATTATAACAATAATATTTTTTTATATAATTATTAATATGTGTAAAATTGAATGGATCATCGAATTAGTAAACAGAGGGAATTAAAAGTTTTATTTTAAAATAATATTTTTATAGTATAATAAATTTAATAATCCTAATATTTTAAATAAATAATAAAAATGATTGTTATTTTACAATGAAAATTATAAATATAAAATATTTCAAAGAATGTAAAATAAATAATTATTAAAATAAGATAAAAATATGATAAAATAATTATTATTTAAAATTGACATAATTAATATATGATAAAAAAATAAAATATATTATATTTTTTATAAAAATATTATATTAAAAATTTGATCTTAATTTTTTATTTTACCAAAAATGGTTAAACCCAAAAAAAAATATTGATTTTGTCTCTATTTAATTAAAGTCTCATTATTTAAAAATAACATATCGATTTCTAATTTGTTTCCGATTTATTTGTTTCCTATTTAATCGATTGAACAAACCAATTTTATCTAATTTTCAAAATAGTATAAATTATTATTATATTATCATCATCATAAATCATCCCCATTATCATAATTTTCAAAATTTTAATTTTATTATTTTCATCGTTTCTATTATCATTATTATAATAATTAGTATTACTACTTTTATCATTATTATTATTATTATTATTATTATTATTATTATTATATTATACTTGTAAGGAGGAAGACTTTAGTAATTTAAAGAGAAATAATGGATTGAGAGTATTTTTACAAATTTGAGATTAAAGCTTGTATGTGGACATTCGAGTTTTGCATGTGATCTTGGTGGGGTAAATATGAATCTTGACTAATTTAGGAGTAATGTAGTATATTTGATTTGTTAATTGGGTTTTTCTCTAGAGAGGATTGACTTCCTAAAAAATTGAGAATTTGGAGTTTTTAAGCTTGAGAGTACTAAATTGGAAGGTAATGGAAATTAGTTATTCTTTGATTTCCATAGTACTTTCGGTTAGAAGATCTCTAAGTGTAGAAGTGACTTTGTCACATTGTTTGATTTATAGAAAATTGAGTTATTTTGTTGTATCTTAAATTCTGATTGAATAAGTATAGAGTAATGATGCATATAAATTATTAGGGTACGATAGTTATAATTGGACTAGGTATGACATATTTTAAGATAAAATTGAGTGATAAAGTCTCATAAGATAGTTTTTTATCTGAAGTGTAGTTTAACATGAGTTTTACAAGTTTGTTATCTGCATATTTTGCTCTAGTGAAATGTATCGAAGAGGAAATGACTCCTCTTATGTGCATTTTCGCTCAAACGAAGAAAAACTTGCATGGAAGATGTTTGTCTCAAGTGTATTTTCACTTAAGGGAAGAAATTGTCACGTTAATGAAAATGAGTCTCACTTAAGCTAAAAAATTTCCTAATAAAAAATTTGTTAGAAAAGAATGTGATTCTCGACTACATTTTTGCTCAAGCGAAACAAAATATTTTCGCTTAAGAAAAATTTCTTATAATTTTTCTACCAAACTTCTAAAAATCATAAAAAATAACTCAGAATTCCATATCTAATAATCTATATTGCAAATTAAAGTCCTAGAAATAACGAATCCAATAAACTTATATTTTAATCTTATTAGAATAGCTTTTAAACAAGTTGTTTTGACCTATTTTCTTATGTGTTTTTTACAATTTAATAAATAAAATATATAAAAAAATTGCTAATATATTAAAATCAGTGAAAAAAACTATTTATAAAAATTAAAACTTCATTCAAACAAGTGTAAAATTCGAATAATTAGGAAAAAAAAGGTAATATTGCGTTAACACTTCCAGGAGTAAACCTAATACTTCCTTGTCTCCCCTTACTGTCTAGTCTACCTGTTACCGCAAATCGAACCGCCACCGAGCTCCGTTCCCCGGCGCCTTTCATTGCCGAGTTCTTTCCGTTCCTGTGTCTGAACTCACCGCTAACAGGTTCACAAATTCTCCCAATTTCGCATCGAAATTCAAGTTCAGAAAAAATCAATTTATTCAATTTTCATGTAATGTAATGTATCTAACACGGAACAATCTTTCATGCTAAATACAGAACCATAACTCTGTTCCTTTTTGCCTGCTTTTCCTTTTCTTCTTCAGCTTCGGTTTTGGTGCAACCACGAAACCCTAACCATGGCGCATAGGTTGCTCAGAGACCACGAAGCCGACGGTTGGGAGCGTTCCGATTTCCCCATCATCTGCGAATCCTGCCTCGGTGACAGCCCCTATGTTCGAATGGTACGTTTCGTATCTTCTTCGGTCGTTTATTTTTTATTTGAATGATTCTGCTTTGTTTTTGCGAGATTGAATGGGATGTGAAGGTAGTAGTTATAATAATGACCTATTCTGTAACAAGCGATTCTGGCTATAGCACCAGCTCATTTTCTAACTATCTTTCTTCTTTCATGACATTCTCTTCTTATTCTTTAACTATGTCATTTGCTTTCACTAGCACCGGTTGGGAGAACAGTAAGACTTCGTCCTGCCCCACCGACTAATCTTTTGTTGTGTGTTTGTTTGGTGAGGAATTAAAGGTTGAAGGAACAACTGAACCGAGTCAGGTTTTGATGTATTGAACCTCGCCATGTGACCAGCCAATAAGAATTAATGAGTGAATTTGTTATACTTTGTGCTTTGCGGATTTTGTATCCTGAGGGTGAGAAATTTCTAGACGCAATTGTGAAGTTTAAAACCTTTTTTTTTTTCATTGAGGCAGGCCGGTGGTTTTGTTTTCAACTTTGTGAATTTGGAATCCCAAAGCATTTTAGCTTAATTCTTCTTGGGCGTTTCAAGACTACGTGAAATAAAACTGAGTTAGTTTTCTTGTGGTTATTCCCATGTTTGGTAATTTGAAATTAAGTAATTATCTCAAATTTTTCATCTTTGAAGTATGAAACAATAGGTTTGTTGATCACATAGTAGTTAATGTTGAGATTTAAAACCCTCTTATATGTTATTGGTGATTTACTGGTGCACTATGAAAAGTATGGATGTTTGTTGTTGATAATTTTCGGATTTCAGTATGTTTCATTAAATATGTGATTGTGGGAATCCAATTGCTTTCTTATGTTTATTTTTGGTTGCAGACAAGAGCAGAGTATGACAAGGAGTGCAAGATTTGTACTCGGCCATTCACTGTGTTTAGATGGAGACCTGGTAGAGATGCTAGATATAAGAAAACTGAGATATGTCAGACATGTAGTAAGTTGAAAAATGTCTGTCAAGTGTGCCTTCTTGATCTTGAATATGGACTACCTGTTCAAGTTCGAGACACGGCTCTCAGTATTGATTCCAATGACTCTATTCCAAAGAGTGACGTTAATAGGGAGTATTTTGCTGAAGAGCATGACCGTAGGGTATGTTTACCTTATGCTAAGTTTTGTATTTATAGTTTATGATAGTTGAATGTAATTAATGATTAGAAAAGTAGTAATGGATTTGAAGTCAATCTGTATCTAGTTGTGAGTGAATTGTTATTTTTGTGGCTGACATTGTTTTTATAATGTTTTGGTGTTACTTTTTTGTATTATACGCAGAATTTCTTAACGATGGAACTCAGATCTCCACATTGTTATTTGATAACAGCTATTAAAATCTCAAATTTTCTTTATACATTTCTTTTAGGATTTATATTATTTTAACTCAGTTTTCTTTGGTCATTTCTTGATTGTGATCTTTTTACTAAGAATAAAAGCATGCTGCAGGCTAGAGCTGGTATAGATTATGAATCCTCCTATGGTAAAGCACGCCCTAATGATACTATCCTGAAGCTTCAAAGAACAACACCATATTACAAAAGAAACCGGGCGCATGTTTGCAGTTTCTACATAAGGGGTGAATGTACCAGAGGAGCTGAGTGCCCTTATAGACATGAGATGCCAGAAACTGGGGAATTGTCTCAACAAAATATTAAAGATCGTTATTATGGGTATGTATGGTTAAAAGTTACGTCCTTATTTGCTTATGACTTTTAAATACTTGATTTCAGTTGCACCCTCTATTCCAATTTAGTTTTTCTATGTATTGTTATTGGAATGGGGCAACAACTCAAGCATTTTTCGTCTCCGTGATGGATATAATTGTTGGTTTATTGGGCACTCCCTTAGTTCTTTGTGGTTGTCCTGTGTTATGACCTCTATTGCATAGCTAAGAGAATAAGCTTGCAAGGTTTTTATCCATCCAAGTCATGTTGTAGTTCTGCTTGTAGGAAGCTTTGTTTAATCCAGAATAATTAAACTTTACTCCACCAAGTGGCATCTGGTATACAAGTCAAAGTCACTATTTAACTTAACATCTTGGGATCCAAAGTGGGGAAACTTTATTGATTACTAATTACTAACAGCCATTTACTTACATTTGGGCTTTCTTTGTCTTCTGTATGTGAAGTGGAACGATTTATCTTGTGTATGTGGTCCTTAGCCTGTAATTTTTCTTACGTTTAAGAACTTTTAGTTAGTACTTTGCTTCTTCTCAATGTGTAGTAAGAGATTTTTTTACAACGAAGGATGATTCCTTTAATTTCAATCACGGTAAAAAATGATGTAGCAGACAGTCAATAGCCATCAAACATGTTATTATGAGGATAACTTTTGCTTCTAAATTTTTAGTGCATCATGGATGTACGATCATTCTTTTTCAATCTCATATTAACCTCTGCTCTACTTATTGGTTTTATTTGCATAATTTTCTAGTGACTACAGATACTGGTGATATTTCTAATTGCAGTAGTCGGCGATGTTTTAAATTTTGCCTCATGCTTTTGACTCCATTCATTTTCTGTTCTTGCTTTAAAATATTCAGGGTGAATGATCCAGTGGCCTTGAAGCTACTTGGCAAGGCAGGGGAGATGGCCACCCTGGAGGCTCCTGAGGATGAGAGCATTAAAACTCTCTATGTTGGTGGACTTGATGCTAGGGTCACTGAGCAGGATTTGCGGGATCACTTCTATGCCCATGGGGAAATTGAATCCGTAAAAATGGTTCTCCAACGGGCTTGTGCTTTTGTAACATATACTACCCGAGAAGGTGCAGAAAAGGCAGCAGAAGAACTCTCCAACAAACTGGTTATTAAAGGCTTAAGGCTAAAGCTGATGTGGGGCAGGCCTCAGACCTCAAAACCCGAGTTAGATGGCTCTGATCAAGCAAGGCAGCAGGCATCTGTGGCTCATAGTGGATTGCTGCCTCGAGCAGTTATATCACAGCAGCAGAACCTGGACCAAACACAAGGAACACTATTCTATAACAATCCACCACCTCTGCAGCAGGAAAGAAGCTACTACCCATCAATGGATCCTCAAAGAATGGGTGCTCTTATTTCATCTCAAGATGGTCCTCCTGGTGGACCTTCTGGGTCAGGGGAGAACAAGTCCAGTTTGGAGAAGCAGCACTATGCCCATCCAATGATGCCTCCTCCACCTGGCCAATATCATCATCAGTATTATCCTCCATATGGTTATATGCCGCCAGTTCCCCCTTATCAACAGTTCCCACCTCCATACAATACTGCTGTGGCTCCATCCCAGCCAGCCGCTACAAATTATCCTTATCAGCATTCTACGCAGCCAGGGACTTCGCAAACAGGGTCTGGACAGGCTGCACATGCCCCAGCTGAAACTGGAACATCAACATCTGGGTCACAGCATCAATAAACTTGCCCATATACTGATGTTTCGAGCTATGCAAGTTATTCCTCTTAAACTGACCATGCTGATAGGGAAAATATTTCCACCCAAACTGTCAATTTACTATCTCTACTAGCTTGATACTGATTGCGTTGTGACATGAACAAGTTTTCTTCACTATTTGATTTTTGTGCTTTTGGATCTCTTGGCTTTCTGGTTATATCATAGTCATGCTCACTTTAGTATTATTTTGCATCCAATTCTAATGCTCAGCTTCAGTTTTAGTTATAAATCAATTTGTAAAGATGGCCAATTGATTTTATAACATCAAATAATTCGTGAAAAATGTATATTGCTTTAGAACTCTATTGCTGAGGGTTGTATTTTTTCCATGTATTTTTGGAAAAGCTTCGAGTATTTCTTTGTTGATTGCTGTATTAGTTGCTTTTACCAAAAAGAAAAGGGTGATTCGAAACCCGAATATTTAATTTCTAAAACCCGCGTGGCCAATCTATTGTTGATCCCTACTGTAAAGTAATATGTGAATGATTAAGATCGTCAGGTCCTTTCATTCCCAACTCTGCACTTTTCACATTCAACTTTCTGTATTCCCCGTATGACTTTACGTCAATTTAAAGCAAAATTTAATGCGACTTTCACAAATTGTGGTCAATCCAACAATCCATAGTGATACAAGTTTTGGTTGTGCATAAGCATTACACTTTCTTTAAAGGGAATTCTTCTCCAAACAAGCAGGAATGTTCCATGTCCAACACCACCTTCACAAACAGTAGAATTAACTAGAAACTAAACTGAAATACATGGAAGATAAGGTAACGAGACAACAAACAAAAACAAATGAAGCACCCTTCATTAGCTTAGTTTCGCGCTTATGATTCCTTCAAGGGATCCAACGAGACCCAGTAGTGACACAAGAAAGCAAATAAAGCTGAAAGTTCTAAAGACAATCCATTTTCTAGACCAAGCTTCAATTTTCCTCTGCACAAAGTACATCTCTACCGGGAAATATATAGCCAATGGCCAAAAGCCCAAGGCTCCTAGCACTCCTAGAACTTGATTAAAGTAAGGAAATAGGATCGCAAGTCCAGTTGTGGAAATCACATAGGCTGTTCTAAAGCATATCCTGAACAAGTTTAGCTGAAAAGCTGGCAACCAAGGCAGTTTCAATTGGTAGAAATTATTCACAAAGCCATTGTTGGGGTATTTTTTTGAACACCATCTGTCAACGGCACCATATATCGGCTGACAGAAAATCTGATCAAAAGATCATATACAAGAATTACAACTATGATTTGTATGGTATCATGAAAAGAATTCAGATATAGTTGCATATATGCCCATAATTCATATAGCTTAAACTTTATTATTTTATTTTTCTACGGAAGATTATTGAAACAATTGGTACTGTAAAGACCCGATGGATAAAATCATAAGGTAAGGAATGAACAGTCGTTAAGGAATTGACCAAGAAAATAAAGTAGTAGTTTAATTGATTAATAAGAAGTTTCGGTCTTACGTATAAAATGTATAGTACCTGATATCCTCCTACCAAGTGAAGAACAATGCAAGCGTTGGCAAAGTCAATGAGCCAGTAAGGCTCATAAAACCCAAACCCTGTCAAGAGGTTCCCTGGTGTCTGATTTCCAAAAGCTGCATATCCAAAGCATCCACAACAGAGGTAGAAGAATGTTGTAAGGAGGATAGCAATTATGGAGGCCTTTTTCATGGTCTTGTTTTCTGGTGGAGGAGACTCTAGAGTGTCCTTCAGTCAAAATAAATAAATTCAATACTTTGCATCAACTGTAAATTCTGTCTTGTTTTAGAGTTTAATTTGGATACGCTGTGAGTGTAGAGAAAAAACATTAACACAATCCATTAATTAAAATCACGTACGATATGACTTTTAAGATAGTTATTACAAGTTTAAACAATGGCAATCTATGAGTGAATGACAAAACAAAACCTCTGTATAGTTTATACTGTCAGTGCTTAAAATTAAATTCATATGAAACAGTACCTGTATCTCAAGGAGGATGACTGTGTATGGATAGGCAAAGGCAATATCACCAATTGCTTGGAAGACTAACCATAACTTGTCAGCAATATTTGCAGCCGGTACTCCTGTTAAACTCCCCATAATTCTTCCATTTTCTGCCAATGCAGCCATAATATAGTTTGTTTCATGTTCTATTGTTCTCTTTCAACTCTTCGATTTTAAGAAATATCCTAATACAGTTTGCTTCTTTGTACCTAAATCTAACATCCCATATATTTTTCCATTTAATATGTTTTTAGCATCTAGATATGGGTTTTAGTACAGAATACATGTTTTTTTCTTTCATTTTGTTGCTTCAATAATCAGAAGGCTTGAATGGACAAGTACACAAAACCTTAAATTCTAATTGTGAAAATGAAAGTTACCTATTACTGTTGTGATGCCAAGTCCAAGTCCAATAGTTGAATATGTAAAGGACATTATGGCCGCAACAATTGAAACCCATGACATGTTGTGGAGATCTGGTATGAATGACATTATGATCTGAACTAGTCCAAACAGCATCATGTATACTGTATCCCCATATTTACAAGTAGCCTGATGCCCTTCCTTGTGATAACAATTTGATTTCAGTATCGCTCTGTATTGGTATAAAAACCAAGCATCGTTAGGACATGAACACAATCATCATTTAGGTAGACTAGCATCTTCAATATTACATGAAATAAGAAAACAACATATGATTGAAGCAACGAGCTACAACACAAATTCATACTTGCATATAAATAATGATCTTCTCACTTTAGTTGGGGTTTAATCGGAATAGTACCTCAGACAGGTTGCTGTGGTAATTACATAAGCAGTACTAACCCCATACAAGCTCAAATATTGAAGGAAACCAGCCAACCATTTCCTTCTATTTCCTAAACTAACAGTAAACATGATTAGTTTGCATAATTATGATGGCAGTTTACTCGAACCATGTTCTGAGTTTTAGACCAGAGTGATTATACAAGTACAAGAAACTACCAAGATAGATTCTAACAGCATCCATGTAAGTGTAGTTTCTTTTCCCAGTTACAGGATCTAGAGTTCTGTAACAATCGGAAAGAAGGAATGAAGAAATACACGTGACCATTGCACAAAAAAGCAAGAAAACTGGTCCTGCAATCCATCCCAATTGGGAAGTACTCCATGCCAGAGACAGAACACCAGCACCAATAATCGCTGTGATTATATGAGCCACAGCACTCCATACAGTTCCTGTAGAATTGATGGAAAGACTATAGTTCAGTAACCAAAATTCATATATAAGAATACGAAATGCTTATGGTTATGGTTATGGTATGGCCCTAGAGAATTTTACCAGTCCTCTTGGCATGCCCATCATCATCATAATCACCGGTACCACTTCTAGTTATTTGGAGAGAGTTTTGAACAGCCATTTTTATCCAAGAATCCAACTCAGTTGACTGTAACTGAATCCCGTAGGACAGTCTACATGCTTGTGAGATATTATTTTATATAAAGTTTCAAAATTGATGAAGGACTCTTTAATGTGTCGGACAACTCTCCTAAAGTTAAGAGACTAACTAATTGCATGGAAGAGGTTTGGAGAAATAGTGTAAACAAAATAAAATAGGTTGATAAACATGATGCTGTTGTAGGTACATGAGCCAAACCAAAACTCAAACAGTAATCTTAAAACTTTTAGAAGCCATGTCCTTGATAACTAAGGTGTGTAGATCAGACATTGCAAGCTACAAGACACACCATAAAATCAGGAAGACTTTACTATAAACTTGAATATAAAAATACAGGCCAGAACAGGAAGCGAAGATGAAGGAGATTCTTTGAATTTTGAAACTAAGAAAGTGTATGGTGTATGAGTATGGTTATAGGTTATAGGTTATGCAGGCAACCTTCTAATAAAAGACTAAACAGTGGTCATCATATCAGAGGTTTCAAATAGCAAAGTATATTCTCTCTTTGCTGAACATAGTGCAAAATGGTTCAGTAAACAGTACCTATCAGAGGACCAGAGGTACGTGAGTGAAACAGTGGGGCTGAAGATTCAAAATAATTCACATCATCACATCATGTCAAGAGTAGTACTCACCTTAGTCAAAAAACCACTCTACATTACATTACAGTATTTCATGGTTTATGTCCTACCCAACTAGATATCATCACGTGTCTACGATTTCATGATCATATGTCTTAAAAATATTAGTTCATGAACCGTGGAAATTTGGAACCACCAAATACTTCCCCTGAAAAAGAGAGAGGGATTGTCTCTTTTTTTCAATATACCTCTCCCGTACGAGAAGGACTCTATTATTTGTGCATCAATGTGAAATTATATGTCCAAAATGTAGACTTCAGCAAACCAAGTGAACGAATATTTGAAACGAATGTCGTTTTGTCGTTGAAAATGAAAGTACGTCAAACCATAAGGTTTCATTTTATGCATCTATTTTCAACCCTTCCTTATCATACCTACAGCCTTTTAGATCTAGCTTCTTCCTTTCCAAGGAGTGTATAGAAACTGTTGGATTTCATTGAAGATTAGGTAGGTTAGAAAGTGCTGTAGAAGCAACGTAATAGTTACATGTTTCAACCATGAGGCCCACTAGATTAGCTTCTTCCTCCACTTCAATCTCAAGGAACTCTTGGAAATTTGAGATTCCATTGGAAAATATGCAGAATCATCGGGGTAAAAGGACCATCTTTATTCGGTTGAGTTTTGTCTTTTGCTACTTTAACTGATTGGAGTATCATTTGGCTCATCCTTATAGGAAGAAAGAAGGACCGTGCTCTTCTTGTGGGACATTGCGAAGTTCTCGTTTCCATGTTGGTGTTGGGAATAAGTGACTGAAGCGTCATACTGACTTCGATGAGAAAGTTGAGCAAATCCATAATCCAATGTCTTTTCTTAAGATTGAGTCGAAAGTGGTGACTCAAATTTTAGACTTTGAGAATGACCCTATGAAACGAGAGTAAACTAACACTACTTAGGATTCCAACGAATCGATACCAAAGGTTGCAGACAGAACCCTTTAGTAACAGAAACAAAGAATCATCGCGTTGCATTTTCATGTAGATTTGTTGAGAAAGTTATTTGATGTGGCAACGTGATTGGATAGATAAAGAAGATAAATGTAAAGGTGCAGGAAAAGGAGAGTTTTTCTTTGTAAATATGTTTACAATGCTACTCAAATAACACTACCCTTGGTTTTAATCATATGGGAAAACTTAGTATGATGGAAGGGAAAATAGAGTTGACCAAATGGAAGACATTTCACAGTTTTCTCTCGGATGGAACATCCTAGAAGCTGTTAGTAATAAGGAAAAAACTATTTTAATATTGTAATAATAATAATTTTAAATTATTTTTATTTTCATCTTATCTTCTTACCAATATTATATTAATATATTAGAGTGGTTGTTTTCTAGATTATTTTTTTATCCATTTGTAAATATACCAGCGTCTTAATAATAATCATCATCTAAATGGTAATAGATACTCTCCAACACAAACAACTCTCTTTATAATCCATTTTTATTAATATAATAATAATAATAAAAAATTAATTAATAAAAAAATTTTAAAATTATTATTATAATATTAGAATCAGTTATTCACAAAATGTGAGTGTCAAAATAGTTTTTCCACACAAATTACACCTAAAATGTTTATGAATGCCACAACTTATTCATAACTTGGTCTTCTTCAAATACCTGATATTGTAATGTTGGTTGTTTAGGCAATCATAATAACATGTAGGAACTATTTTGTAAAAGCAATTTTTCATTATTCAATTGTTAATTTCTCGTTTATAATTTATTAAATTTTGAAAACGTTTCTGGAACAGGTATTTTAAAAACCTAAAAAAAGAAACAACTTCAAAAAATATTTTCTTGTCTGTTTTTATCTTGTTTAATTTTTCCTCAATTCTACGTTACTGTGTCTTGCACTGTTTTGAAAATTAAAAATAATTTAAAAAATAGAAATAAAATACTCTCCAAATTAATCTTTCACTCCTCCTTGATGAGTTCAATTATACAAAAAAAAATTAAGAGAATGGTTGACATTATTATGTCTTGATTTTCATACATTCATAAGCTCACTTTAGTTGCAAACTTATTTGGGTTAGTCCGAGAAATTAGGCACTTTTATTTCCACCTCCATAATTAAATTACATCATTATTTTATCTTTACACCTATATTTTAAGTTTGGTAAGTGTTTATTTTTTATTTTTAAACCATTGAATATCTGATTTTTAAATCTTACCAAATCATTTTTTTTATCTTATTATTCCAAAATTTGCAAAAAACATGTAAGAATTTTTAAATATTTTTAATTTGTATAAATTTTTTACCAAGTATTCGTGCAACAAGAATATAATTCTGAAAACATATTTTGAGAATTAGTGAGTCCAAAATCTATTTTCTAAAACATGTTTTAAAAAAAAATTAAAATATATTTTCAGAATGACAATTTTGAAACATATTTGAGAATCTTAATTCGAAATACCATATCGACTTTTTTGAAAATAAATTTTAGTGTTATGAATACGTGACTGAAAATACATTTTGAATTTTAGTATTTCAGAATTCAATGTCGCAGTTTATAGCTAACCCGGCCCATTAACATTTATTTACCAATAAGAACGAACAACAACTATAAGAGTTGAGTGCAAAAAGAAATTAATGACCCAATAGAAAAAAAAAATGCGGTTACCTGACACTGTTAGCAGAAGTAATTACATATGCAGTGGTTGTACCAAATAAGCTTGCATGTACCAGCACTCCACACACCTTTTCCTTCGCCTCTCCTAATTTATCATAACACTTCTTAACCATGTGTAAACACCAGATAAACATTTGAGGCAACAAAGAAGAGAAAACATAGAAGAAATGAAGCATGAGAGAGTGTTGGACTAACCTAGGTACAGATGAACAGCATCCATGTAGGAGGGGCACCTAATGTTGCCATATTCAGGATCAGGGAATCTGTAGCAGTCAGCAAGAAGGTTTGCAGAAACAATGACAGTTCCTGCAAACACTGAAGTTATCAAAGGACCTGCAATCCACCCTAATTGTGCCACAGACCATGCCAGAGACAGCACCCCTGCCCCTATCACACCAGTTATTATATGTGCCACTGCTCTCTGCAGATTACCTTCATGAATCTCACATTATTCATAAATAGTTAGAACAACTTTATCTTTCTTTTTCATAATTCAATGGTAAACAGACAAAACAAAACAAAACAAAACCCTTTTACAACTTATGAACTGAGTAATGAATGCCATGGACAAAAATTGAGTAGATTAAATAAAAAAACTATCTGCCTTTTATGAATATGTAATGATCATTCTTCTTTAACTTTTCTTACATAAAATAAAAGTCCTATAAAATGAAAAAAATGCTACCAACTGCCATTCTCACACCAATCAGTCAAATAAATATGTCACTGTTTGTGCATGACAGAAGAACAGTGTTCCTAAGCAATTGCGGGGAGAAATTTATAAAACATATCTGTTAAGAATTGTTTGAATATTAATGAGGGAAGATGTTTTGTCAACATTAAAATCAGATATAATTGAAATGATGGGGAAATTGAGACTTAAGAAATAGAAATAGAGTAGTAGTAGTAGTACCAGATAAGACGAAATGCATGTACTTACCGGTTCTCTTTGAAGTGTGTTGAATCAAAGGTGAACGTGAATTTTCTGATATTTCTTCTTCATCCATTTCGATCTTAAATTAATTCTTCCAACTCTTCGAAGCTTGATCGATCCGTTTTGCAAGCTCCTCAATGAAAAAGGGTATGAAATATGAATGATCACCACAACTTCCAATTCCATATATTGTCAAACAAATGAAAGATCACCTAACTCGTGCTTCTGAACTATTCTAGTCTTCGCTATCACATGATTTTCTTCTATAACCGTTTCATTTCGTCACCAAAGATAATGCAAATCTAGCGCTGATCTCATATGTGGAAACAGCTTTTTAATTTACGCCAAAAATCAAATTTATTTTTAGTTAAATAACTCCGTCATTGTTTACAAACTTTAAATAAAATAGGTATAACTATAACTTGATTTCTATAAAAGTACAATTTTCGTCAAACCAATTTATCTATGATTAATTTCTAAATTTGCAACCATATATATATTCAATATAATTTTTAAAAATTTGTATTAATAAAAAGTGTGTAAATTTTGAAAAAAATATTTATATTGTTGACTCTGAGGTTAACTTCATTTATATTATATTATATAGTAAAAGCGTCAAAGGCTTTGACCAAAGTTCTTAATATATTGTGTATAAATATAATTAATGGGGAATTCAGAAAGTTTGGTGGTAGAAAGAGGAAAAAATGATGGATTATTAGAGAATTATGATTTAGAAGAGTAAAGAAGACACGTTAAAGAAAGCTAAAAACAAAAGGACTCTTTTTTTTTTCTTCCCCGTTCCAACACGCAACGGACCCACGTAAATCATGATTTTCATTATCTAATCATAAATTAGTGTATAAATTTCTCTACGTTTACGTAAGTTATCTTAAAAGTAGACATAGTTATCATGATTTTCATTAGATACCAGAAAAAAAATCTGTGTTTTAAATTGATCACACGTTACACAAATTGCATTGGCTTAGTAATGAAATGTATATCATATTCCAAGAAAAATATAGGTTTGAATATTTTTACAATGAACTTATCCCGAGAATAAGGTGTAACACAACACAAGTGTCCAAGTATCAGAATTACCGAGATATTTAATATATATCAATAAAATAGAAACTTAATATCCTGCTATTTTTGGGAAGTTGGAATTCTTATATACTCCCGAATATTTATTATATATCAATAAAATAGAAATTATATATCTTAATATTTTTGGAAGCTAGAGTCTTAATATTAGAAATTTAATATTTTATCACATGTTTCTTATGAATCAATTATTATATTAATTATCACATCTAAAATAAGAGGGTCTCACATATCAATTATTACGTCTAAATATTAATTATTTAAAATAAGAATGTCTCATTTAAAATTATTCCCGATCTTATATTCACTTTGTTAATTTTAGATATTGTTTTCGTTTAAGATATTATCCAAAAGAAGAGTGTCTCATTTCAAAAATAAGTGTGTCTGTATCCGATATTTCTACTTTAAAATTTTAATTTATTACGATTTTAAATTGAACGATATTGTCATCTTAAAATTCTAATATATACATCTTAAAACTCTAATCCATCTCCATAACTCATTTTAAAACTCTAATCCATTAAAAAGACACCTCATAAACAACCAGCAAACAGAAATATCAATAATGCATAAACAAGAGATACATGCTTAAACACAAAGGAAGTGAGTGTTACACACTCTCTTGTGCTTGCCATAACTTTGGTTGAAACCATTACCATATGGATTTGTTCAATCCTTAAGAGTTGGTACTTTCAAAATTAGTAGTCCATAAATCCCCTCTCTTTCCCTTCATAATGTGGCCTGAGTCCACCAAACATCACTCTAGTTTCCCTTGCAATCCCTCCAAGCAGATGAAGACCAGTGAGTGCCATAGCATCAGCAACAGCAAAGCCAGCCAGAGTTATCATGAACAGAAAGGCAGCAGGCAGAAGCAAAGGAGTGAAGAGCAATAAAAGGGGCGAGCACACCAGAAGAAGCGTTGTGGATGCTAAAAAGCTGAACCCCATCATCCATAACATAGGTCCTACTGTGGCTAAAGCTGCCACTGATGCAGACACCAACTTCACGCCCGAGATTTGGGGTGAGTGACCACCAAAATGACCCTTCTGATAGTAATCTGCCATTGGTTTGTGCCCTTGTTTGTTACTGGTTTTGCTTCTTTGTTTCAGTCGATGGTTTTTAGTCACACTTTATGATTCGGGCATTTGGAGACTCAGCCAACAATGCTACTGAGTTCTGAAAGGTGTCAATTTAAGATATTGTGTGGCAGACCCTTGTGTCGACTCGTATGCATAACATTAATGAAGACTCTGACGTTGTGACACATCATTAATAGATTCTCTTAAAAAAATAAAATATGCATGCTTAGGTAATAAGTGGAGTTTGGAGGCAAGTTACAAAGGCTCGTCCATCAAGCATTCTGAAAATGTTTGACCACCCATTAGGGACTAGTCCATTTCCATTACACACGAACAGAAATGGCATAAATATAAAGAATATGAAAAACGGTGTTATAGACTTGTAATCGAGTATTGATTAAGAAATAAATTATCACCGACCAGGATTTGAAAGCATTGACAACAATTCTTGGAACAGGATAACTAAGTGAAGAAAAAAACTATTATCGAAGATGGAAGACCATGGATCCTGCCGCTTCTAAGTTGTAACTTTACATAATTATTCTCTATAACAATGTTTAGCATACATTACAAAAGTAAGATGGCATGAAATCAGTTGCATTATCATGAATTTTCAGGCTTCATATGTAGTAACCAAAGAAAGAAGATTCCAACGGCGGAAAATTGGACAAGGAACTCAATGCCAAACTTGGCATGGAAAAAATAATAGTCTCGGCACTTGTCCACTTCAAAGACCTAATTATTGATGCAATATAATACCGGAAACAATTAGTGTGATTTAACAACTTGAGGCAGAGATTTGAGAAGGGACAGAGACGGCCTTCGAACCGTGTGATTAAGCAGTAACATAAATGTCAGAAGTGTTAAGGCTCCAGCCTGATGAGCAGTGCCCAGTGAAACAGGTACATATGAAAGAAGCGTTGAAATTCCTAAAGTGACCTGTAACCATGAAAAACTAATTACATAATATACCTAATCATATAGTAAGATTGCTAATAGAAACAAACACCACCATGATGTCTTTCTTCTTATTTCTTTTGCCTGTTTATTATCATCTTCGTATTTAATTGTAGATGAAACATAACATAGCAGGCAGGACAACTGGTGTGAGTATTCAGCCAAGACAAAGGAGGCATTATATCAACAGACAGATAGCTAGCTAGCAACAACAGTAAAGCAGGACCCCAACAATATAAAAAGAAAAATATTATATGCAATATAAAACTGCAAATTGAAATTATGACCTGAAGAACTGCCATGCCAACAGTGCCTCCAATCACAGATTTTACTGCAGGGTGTATGTCCAACTTTCTTGTTGACCACCATAAAATGCCCATTGAAATCAGAGTTGCAGTTGCAAGTATACGGTGATCAAGCTGTCAAGAACAAAACATATTAAAATTTCACGTTGTTAAACTTTGGCTGCCAAACCAGACTAATGATATGAAGATTAATTTACTGCTACCTACTCTAAACATAGATGCCTCACATAGCATTTCAAATTTCTCAACTTTTGAACAGTTCGAATAAAAATCCAACCAAAAGAAGAATCAAGAAAACAAAGGTATTACTATTTTTTTACTTTTCAGAGATATCAACACGGATTACATACCTGTACAGTTGACGTATTCTCAAAGAAATTTCGAATCAGAGGCTTCATTTCAAAAATGTCTTCCGGTATCCATGTATCACCCATCTTCGGAAAAGTATTAAATGCATGCCCCTGGAAATCCACATGTAAGCAGAGTGATTATTTTTCATCCTTGCCAAAGGCTCAATTATCAGCTCAAGTAAAAATGGAAGGGGAAAAACTATTGAATAAAAGAACATACAGCATCATTTCCCGCAACAAATGCACCAGAGACAGCAGTAAGACCAACAAGCACGCTGATAGGCAATGCAAGTATCCTCACTTTAGCTGCCCCACGAACCCATGTTAGCGATTCAGCGGGTGGTTCAGGCATAACAACAGAAAGTGCAGTCCAAAAGAGGCCACAGTAAATAGCAAATGCTGATGTAAGATGAGCTGCAAGACGATAAGGACTCACCCTTGGCTGAGAATATTCAGATGGTGGTTCCTAAGGAAAGAAAACATTATCAGAGTCTGGCAGTGCAGGTCAATTTTAACTTCAAACAAAGAGAGGAATTTATATTATTTATGTTCCAACCTCTAAACCACTTTTGACCATCCACCAACCAATGAGACCCTGCCCAGCACCCAGGGCAAACAGAGCAGAGAGTCTCACTCCCAATCTCAAGGTAATATACCTCTTATGAAGAAAATATGAATATGGCAAAGCAAACATAACTCCTAATGCCCTTCCCCACATACGATGTGCATATTCCATCCAATAGATGAATTTGAATTCTTCAATCTTCATGCCCCTGTTAACACTGGAACAAGGGCAAAACTAATCATCATCATGACATTCATCAGAACCACTGCTTGTAGATTTTAATAAGAACTTGAAAGGTAAAACGAGCCTGTCCATTGGCTCAGTTCCAGAAGACTATCTTAAAAAACTGATAAACGCAGATAATTATTCTCCATCATTGTCATATTAATTAGCTTCCCCATACTCTGAAACACACAATCATGCTCGTCATATATTTTTTTTTTGCAGTAATTAAGTTTAAACTATTATTTAACCATGTTAATTTATGATGAAGTTTAAACACAGCTGTTCGAAACATTATTCCTTGATTTTTAATCACTTAATTTTATGATTTGATTTTATCATTTTAAGCTTTAACAATTAGTCAGCCAACTTGATTTGATTTTATCATTTTAAGCAAACTTATTTGCATGTGTTGATGACAGCGTGTATCTTTTCTCCCAAAAAAAGGCAAGTCCCTTGATGCATTTCATAAGTTGATGGAAAAAATAAAGGTGTAGAATTATAAACTCTAGAATCTAGAACAGTATAAGTAGAAGCAAGTGTTTGCAGTTTACCGTTGGTACTCAGGTGACTGCTTATACTTGTCAAACTCTTGCAACCATTCCTCATCTGATAAAGGAGGGAGGGTGCCGGTGAATTTCCAATCAGTCATTGAAAGACCAGATCGGGTGAGTCTGGTTAAACCCCCAAGTACCACCATGCTGAACACCCATGCTGCAGAGCCAAAGAGCCATATTCCAACCACTTTCTGTGCATGAGAGCCCCCACTCACAAGCAGCTTCAACCCCTCCTCCTTGTGTTGAGCTCCAGTGGCCATCATCTTAGAAAAGTTCCTCATGTGTGGCACACGAACATGATGACCCTGAATCATCCACACATAATAGCACAAGGGATTAATTAAAAAAAGGAAGAATAGTAACAATCTTCCCAGAATGCAGAGAGATTAGACATTTAGGAGTGATAGTGAATATAAAAAGTAAAGGAAGTGATCACCCCCTAGGTCATACGAGTTTATAAAAATTGGAAATTGAAGAGAACCCAGATGAGAAAAGAAGGAGAAAGTGCGGAAACCTTGGGAATAAGATGGGATCGGAAAGCATGAATGTAATAGGTGGCGACTGGAGGGGTTAGAAACTTGAAAGGTGGTGGTTGGGTTGAAGAAGAGAAAGACGTCGTCGTTCCTCTTAGCTTGGGAATTCCGAATGCTTCTTTGCCACGCCTCAACACTGACCACACCGTTCCCCTCCCAAACATCTCTCCCTCTCTCTCTCCCTCTCTTGAAACCAGGGTTTAACCAAGGTTTTATTTTGCCCAAACCAAACGAATACTACTTACGCCTCTTCACTCCACTGACGTGTCGTTTTGAAGGCCTAAACTCTAAATTCCAACCTTCCCTACCCTCAAAATAATGTGAATTATATTAAGCGTATAATTTTACACTAATCTTTCTTCTTCTGCTTTTATCATTATTGTATTATACAGATTTATATAAATATATTTCTCAAATAATAACAACATAAATAAATAAAAATAAGCTGGGTGTGGCTTGTGGGCGGTAGCTGTGGGTTGTGGCCTGAGTTATAATGGTTAAACCAACAATTGCAGTATAATAAATATTTCACTATATTCTCGAGTTAGAGAAGAAATGGTTAAAAGGACAAAAAATATTCGCATATCAAAAAAAAGAGAAAATACATTTGAGACACCCCCTTCTCACTATCCAATAAAACCCATCATATATAATTATTTGCTATCATACACGAATTCTTTTAAACGTGAATTCGGTGTCCTTGTCCTGGTGCTCTTTTTGATTCTTACCTCCTTAGGATCACTTGCTACGTGTACGCCCCACTAACATTGGTTATTTTCTTAATTGCCCATGTTGCTTCTTCATCTCTTACATTTCCTCCTCCATTAAAATCAACCTTACCCTCAAGGTTGAAATCTGGATAGTTTATCTTGATCACATCATAATCTTCCCATGTAGCCTGAGACTCATTGAAGTCTTCCCATTTTAAGAGAACTTGATTCACTAGTTGTCCTCCTCTGAGAATGCAGCGTGACTGCAATATTGAAATGAGTTGCATAAAAGGTCCAATCTCAGTAGTGATCATGGGCAGGGGAACATAAGGTTGATTATGATCACCATGACAGGGTTTCAATTGTGAACAGTGAAAAACTGGATGAATCTTAGCAGAACCTGGTAGTAATAATAACTTGTAAGCTACTTGGCCAATACGTTGAATGATCGGAAATGGTCCAAAATATTTTAATCCCAGCTTTTGATTCTTTCTCAGAGCTAAAGAATTTTGTCTATAAGGTTGCAACTTGACTAAGACCATATCTCCAATCTTGAATTCCACTTCTCGTCGCTTTTGGTCAGCAACCTTTTTCATACGCTGTTGTGCCTTAATCAAATTTTGTTTTAATTGTGCCAAAATGACATCACGTTGTTGCAACAATTCCTGAATGTCAGTTGAAGTGTTGGATTTGGAATCATATTTCGGCACTAGGGGAGGGTCTCTTCCATATACTATTTTAAATGGTGTCATTTTAGCGCTGCAATGATAGGCCGTATTATACCAGAATTCTGCCCATGGTAAGAACTTTGTCCACGCCTTAGGATTCTCATAGGTAAAGCAACGTAAATACATTTTTATGCAGCGATTTACAGCCTCTGATTGACCATCGGATTGTGGGTGATAAGCTGTACTCATAGCTAGACTTGTGCCACTCAATTTGAACAATTGTTTCCAAAAGTGACTTGTAAAAGCCTTGTCTCTGTCTGAAACAATTGTTTTTGGGAAACCATGGAGTTTAACCACTGTTTTCATGAATAATTCAGCAACCTGGGTGCTTGTATAACTAGATTTAAGAGTGGCAAAGTGAGCATATTTTGAAAGTTTGTCCACTACAACTAAAATTACCGTGAACCCGTTTGATGGTGGAGGTCCTGTGATAAAATCCATGGCTATATCATCCCATATCTGATTGGGAATTGGTAAGGGTTGCAAAAGTCCTGCAGGAAGTGTATTGGAGGCCTTAGCTTGTTGACAAATAAGGCAATTCTTGACATACTTTGTAATTTCCTTGTGCATACCCTTCCAATGAAATTGAGCTGCAATACGTGCCATCGTACGGGCTATTCCAGCATGTCCCCCCAATGGAGAAGAATGAAACTCATGGAGTATTTGTTGCGTGATGATATGATTTTGTGGCAGGACTATCCTCCCATTCCAGTATAACAATTCATCATGAACCGAATAGAGAGGATGTGGTGGTTTTCCATTTATACAATTATCTTGAATGGACCTCAATTCCTCTTCCTCCGAGATGGCAGTCTTTATGGAATGGATCAGCTCCGATTGAGGTTGTGACCATGCCATTAAGAAGGACCTTGACAGAGCATCTGCTGGAATATTATCCTTACCTGGCTTATATTCAACTATGAAATCATAGCCAAACAATTTATGTAACCAAGCCTTCTGTTCTGGTGTCTGTATAACTTTCTCTGTAATGCTTCTTAAGCTCCTCTGATCTGTCCTTATAATGAATTTGTGTCCCAAAAGATAATGATGAAACTTAGCAATGACTTCTGTAATGGTATATAGCTCACGTGTATATGCAGATTTCTTTTGCAAGCGTGGTGTTAACTTCTTTGAGAAAAATGCAAGTGGATGATTATTTTGACTAAGGACTGCTCCTATGCCATTACCCGATGCAACTGTTTCGATAACAAATTGTTGAGAAAAATTAGGCAGAGCTAAGACTGGGGCATTTGTCAAAGTAATCTTAAGCTTGTTGAAAGCATCAGCTGCCACTAGATTCCAAAGAAAACTATCTTTCTTCAATAATTGTGTAAGAGGGGCTGCTATGGTAGCATATCCTTGAATAAATTTGCGATAATAACCAGTAAATCCAAGGAACCCATGTAATTGCTTCAAGTTTTGAGGTTGGGGCCAATCTAACACAGCTTGCACTTTTGAAACATCTACTGCCACGCCTTTACTTGAAACTGTATGACCAAGATAATCCACTTGTTTCAACCCAAAGGAGCATTTTGAAAGTTTAGCATATAATTGGTGTTGCCTAAGTGTTTGCAAAACAATTTTCAGATGATGTAAATGAGCAGTCCAAGTAGAGCTATATACCAATATATCATCGAAGAAGACCAAAACAAATTTGCATAATAGTCCTTGAAAAATATTATTCATCAATGATTGAAAGGTAGCCGGTGCATTTGTAAGGCCAAAGGGCATAACAACCCACTCATAATGGCCATGATGAGTTCTAAAAGCTGTCTTTAAACAGTCCTCCTCCTTTAACAATATTTGGTGATACCTCGATCTCAAATCTAGCTTTGAAAAATATTGGACTCCAAAAAATTCATCAAGCAACTCATCTACGGTAGGAATTGGAAAAGAATCCTTAATAGTAATGGCATTTAAAGCCCTGTAATCAGTGCAAAACCTCCATTGTCCATCTTTTTTTTTTTACAAGAACAATAGGAGAGGAGAAGGGACTATTACTAGGCATGATAAGTCCTTCTTGCAGTATATCATTAACCATTTTTTCTATTTGTGCCTTTTGACTATGAGGGTACCGATATGGTCGTACCTTAACTGGTTGTGCATCAGGAATCAATGAGATGGAGTGATCATGAGTTCTACTTGGAGGCAATCCTGGCGGAGCTGAGAACACATCCTTGTATGAGTGCAATAACAAAGCCAAATCTGGTTCTACATTATCTGGTATTTGTAACAATAAGGGGCCTACAATTGCATGGTGAAAACTTCTGAAATAGCATGAGTCTTATGCATGCGGCGTATGTGGTTAAATTGGGCTTGATTAGGAAGCCTTGGTTTGTCTCCATGCAAGGTGATAAATTTTCCATTTAAATAAAACTTCAATGACAGAGCACTGTAGTCTGAACACATGTGAGCCCAAGGTGGCCAGCCATGCAGCACCAAGCACTAAATCAGCACCTGAAACAGATAAAAGATAAATAGGTAATTTTAAAGAGTGACCCTGAATCATGACTTCCATATTTCTCACCATGCCTTCCACCGTCAAAGCATGACCGTTTCCCACTAAAACTTGAAACCCTGAAGTTGGCTCAACAGGTAGTTTTAAACAATGGGCTAATCGAGGTTGCAAAAAATTATCGAAACTGCCACTGTCCAATAAAATTTGAACCACCATACCATCGATTGCTCCTTGAAATTTCATAGTACCCACACCTGATCCTCCATTAGAAGCGTTGAATGATAAATGAGGTTCCAACGACAAGTCTTGCAATTCAGGTATAACATGATCTGGTGGGTCTGGTTCCAAAGACTCTTGCTCATTCATTTCAACTTGTAATAACAAATACTGTTGGTTTGGACATTTATGGCCAGGTGAGAATTTCTCATCGCATGTGAAACACAATCCCTTTTCACGTCTCATCCTAATCTCAGCAGCGGATATATTTTTTATAGGAGTGTTTGTTGTGAGTTTGAGTATATTGGGTAGTTGTGGGAGTCGTAAGTAAGGGTGGAAGGCTTGTTATTTTTTTTGTTTGGGTAATCGAGTATGAGGTGGTTTTTTGTAGGCTATGAGGTTGATAGGATTTGTGTTTAGGGATGTATTTCTCTTCATATAACTTAGCTAAAGAAACTGTACGAATCATCGAGGTTGGAGCCTGAGCAATTACGTCCCGACGTATATCTGGTTTGAGACCGCTAATAAAGCAATCTAACAGTGCATCTGGCGTTACACCATATACACGGTTTGCTAGTGCAGTAAATTCCTTGTAATATTCCTGTACTGAACCAGTTTGAGCAAGCTTGAAGAGAGTGGAACGGGGACACTCATAAGGAGAGGGTCCAAATTCCATTTCTAAAGCTCTGGTGAAACCCGCCCATGAATGAAATAGGTTATTTTTTGTTAACATTTGGAACCATGGAATGACATCTGCATCCAAATGAACTGCTGCAATCATCAATCTTTGTTCATCTGGAGTATTATAATACGTAAAAAATTGTCTGGCCTTGAAGATCCACTCAAGAACATCAGAACCATTGAAACGTGGAAAGTCCAGCTTGACAGAACAAACTTGAAATGGTTGGGATACATTGTGATGAGTCAAGTTTGAAGTGGGAGACCCTTCATTCCTTGAAGAATTTCCTTCCTCCAATTTCTCAATTCGTGACGTGTACTCTGTATGTCTTTTTTCCATCAGCTCCAAAATACGCTTCACGTCGGCGGCAAGT